ATAGCCTTAAATAAGGCTAATAGTAATTAAAAAAAATCAAAAAATAAAAAGATTTATAATTTTAATATATATTAAAAAGCAGGTTTATTAATAGTTAAAGTAAGTGCTTTTATAAGTAATTAACTAATAGCTATTACTTTAAATAATATCCTTTTAAAGGGTTAGACTTATTAACCTTAATAGGCTATTAATATAGTTAGTAATTTACTAACTATTAAAGACTTATAAAGTAATATTAAGCTATTAACTTTAATAAGCTAGTTAATAAAAAAGAGAGCTATTTTTAATAAGATAATATTAACTTATAAGCCTTTAACTGTAACCGGGTTATAGACTATATTAGCAGCCTATTATAGCCTAAAACCCTTACCCACGCCCTATTTAAAAATAGGGTATGCCTTATAGGTACCTTACCTACTCCATAGGTCCATGCGAGGGACGTAGGTACCTGGTACTTTCGATCGGGGTATAAGACTATGGAGGTGGGCAGCCACAAGCAGTCGTCATACCTAACCTCACTAGCCACAGATCCACAACTGACTCTCCTGATCCCAAAGGGCAACTGCTACTCCGTAAGGTACGGAGTAAGGTAGTAAGATATTCATGGAAGCTCCCACTGCTTTGTATTAGGTAGTGTAGTACTCGCAACTCCAGCAACACTCTCGCCCTATAAACGCAACGTAACGCGATACGACCCAACCTCGCCCTCGCCCTCGCCCGCTCTATCCGTTTCAACAGCAAGACTTCAACGGAGAGCCATTTATCGATCGATGAACCCGTGAGCTTGACTCGCGAGTAAAGCCATAGCTTTCACCGTGTGGAGCTGCCCGCGTTCTTCGCTGGTGTCACACCCATCAAACCGACAGTCTATCTTGCAGATATCCTCGACATAATTCATCCATCGAATATCTTGTAGCTTGAGCTTTCTATAATGTCGACGAAATACGCATTCCTATCTTTGCCCCAGGGCGTCTTTGACTCGAGCGATCGCGATGATGCCATATCATCATTGCGCGGGACCATCTCTTCCGACAATGGTTCCGTTCTGCCTTTCAACATCCCCGACTTCAAGATCGGCACTCTGGATGCTCTGGTGCAACAGGCAGATGAGCTTACCAAGCTCGAGGCGTCATGCCAGGCTGTTGTGTCCAAGGTCGCCGACTCTTTGAAGAATGTGCTCGAGGGTGACGAAGATCGTATCGCCCAGTATAAGATGGTCAACGATAGTCAGTCGCGTACACTTGTTTTGAGACCGGATAGTCGCTAATCACTCACATCAGAACCCACTGATCAATACGTGAGCACTTTCAGCTGGAACAAAATCCGATATCGAGCCGACAAGTCTCTTGCAGAGCTTATTAGCACTTTGCAAAAGGCGCGTTAATCCACCAACCTCAGTCCTAGGCTCCAACTAACATGTCCTCAGGAGTTAGCTAACGTTGATACCGACGTTAAGACAAAGTTTAATCAGTATAACTCTGTCAAGACAAACCTTGCGGCCCTGCAGCGCCGCCAAACGTGAGTATTTTCCGCTGATCAAAATACAATCCTCAGATCATTGACAGTCTCAATCAGCGGCAACCTCTCTACCAAGTCCTTGACCCCCATTGTCGACCCGAAACTTCTTGTGCAGGATTCTGAGTACATCGAGACACACCTCATTGTTGTTCCTGGCAATGCAAAGAAGGATTTCATTAAGGAGTATGAGACAATATCACCCATGGTTGTGCCTCGCTCGGCTGTCGAGGTGGCCAAGGATGACGAGTTTGTTCTCTTTGCTGTGTCGACATTTAAGAAGCATAGCGCCGAATTCCTCGCCAAGTGCCGAGAACAGAAGTGGACGCCCCGTCAGTACAAGTACGTTGAAGGTGGTCGACAAGAAGAGCAAAGGGAGCTCGATCGAGTCACCAATGAAGAGCGCAAGGTTTGTGGCGAGGCTCTGCGTATGGGACGTACGGGATGGAGTGAAAGTGTCATGATCTGGATACATGTTATGACATTAAGGGTCTTTGTTGAGGCAGTTCTTCGCTATGGCCTGCCTCTGGATTACGTATCGGTCCTAGTCAAGGTGAGCCTATCGAATGCGTTCCAATTCACATGACTGATCACATTCGCAGACTACATCCAAGCTGGCGCCCAAGGTCAAGGCTGCACTGGACTCAAACTACTCGTTCCTGGGCGGCAATGCCTTTGGACGGGACAAGCGAGGCAAGATTACCAAGGACGACGCTGCGCTGAGCTCGGAAATGGCAGCCGCTGGTTTTCAGACTGGCGAGGGACACGAATACACGGCATACGTATACTACGAGATCGAGTTTCCTTAGCGAATGGCGCGGCTGGAAGGTTGGCGAAAGGAAGACAAGCTGAGAAAGAATAACGATAGAACTAGTCGCCTGCATGCAAGAAACGCCTATATTCTAACCTATCATTATGCCTCTTGAATGACGACGGCCGGTGTCGCGTGGCACTAATATCCGATCTACATCTTGTTAAGTGCGAAACACAATTATGGATTTTGTGCCTATTTCTTGTTGAGATAACCCTTCTCATTGAGCCACTGGACAATCTGAGCAACACACTCCTCAACTGAGTTCTCGTGAGTCTTGATAGTGATCTCGGCGTTCTCAGGCTCCTCATACGGAGCAGAAATGCCGGTGAAATCCTTGATCTCACCAGCGCGAGCCTTCTTGTAAAGACCCTTGGGATCACGCTGCTCCGCAACTTCGAGGGGCACATCAACGTAGACTTCGATAAAGGGGATTGGCTCATCGCCGCCCTGTGTGGCTTGCTCGTGCAGATCACGGGCGACCTTGCGATCCGCTCTGTACGGAGAGATAAAAGAGGTAATGGCGACGGTGGATGAGTCCGCGAAGAGCTTGGCGACTTCGGAGATGCGGCGAATGTTCTCGTTTCGGTCAGCCTCGGAGAAGCCAAGGTCCTTGTTCAGTCCGAAGCGGACATTGTCGCCGTCGAGACGGTAGGCAGCGACGCCGAGGTGAAGGAGATGCTGCTCAAGCGCAGTGGCGACAGTGGACTTGCCAGAAGCAGAGAGACCGGTCAGCCAGATGGTGAGACCGCGCTGTCCACGGGTCTCGTTGCGCTCCTTGCGCGATAAGGAAGGGTGCCAGGTGATGTTGCTGTGAAGGGCGTCATTAGTTAGCGATACCTCTGGTGTTGAAGTGGGATGTATGTAGGGATGGCGGGGTAATGAATGGATTTGGAGACTTTGGAGACAAGATTCAGAAGCCAGATAGTAGGCACAGCGAGGACAGGCAGTGCACGAGATGAGCGGTTTGCTTTTTACTTACGTCGCCATTGTGCAAGCAATATATGTTGAGATTGATATTAGATAGTGAAGAAAGGAAGAAGAAGAAAAAAAAAAGAAGAGTTTCCAATCGGTGGAGGGTGAGTGAGAATGGCAGTCTACTAATGTACCTAGAGTACCTACCAAATCGACCAGAACCTAAGTACTGAGCTAATAATAGTGATTTCTGACGCCAATTGCGACCTCAAGACCTTGATGATAAAATTTTATACCATCTTTCTAGCTATACGCCTCCATGATTCGCTCCAGGAACCTCCCTATGTGATTGTAGTAATTGCCCGCAACTTGCCCTGGCAATGTCGTGATCGGGCCATCGGGCGGCAGAAGCCACCTGCTACAGACTCCCCGGAGGTCCACCTTTATAAGAGTATAGTCAGCCTATGAGAACTCATATTGAGGATGGCGACATCAGAGGCCGTTCCATCCCATACAAGCCTATTCCTTAAGTGGCCGGCGCGGGTCCAGCGACTCCACGGGCGTCTGCTCGATGCGCCGGAAGTCGGCCCCGCGAAAAGGGAAAAGAAAAAAAAGAAAATCCAACTTTAAACGGAGAATTTCATGTTATTTCTATATATAATAATACATGGCAGCTCTATCGATTTCCCCAAAGGAAACGCTCTATGTGTAATTAGAATGTGTTCTTGTAAATTGCTCTGTCGTCGTCCACCATTTATGTCACCTGCCGACTGCGAGGTTCCTCGTCTACCACAACACAACCTCTATAAAATGCACCTGTCACTCCCGTCGCTCGCTCAAAGAAAGAAAAAGTTGTCGTAGCACGTGTCATCTATTCGTTTAACCAATCTTAGGCATCATCTACAAGGCGCATTAGAACATCTCCAGAATATCGGTAGCACACGATATATGACTTACCGCAGCATACTTGGGCGAGATGAATAGTGCTTGCGCTTCGGCCACTATCGTCGGCTTCTCGCCAGGCTCGGCCAGTAATTCGATATGGCCCCTAACCCAGGCCTTGCGGCCTTCCACCTTGTATGTCTCCGCTCGAAGAACCAAAAAGCTTCCCGCTGGTGTGGGTTTGCGATAGTCGACATTGAGGTTTGCTGTAACGGCAATGTTATGGGGCAGCGCACCGAAGGAGCAGCGCCCGAGACCCTCATCCAGCATAGTCGCCAGGAGACCACCATGTACAATACCAGGATGGCCGCACAGGTCGTCACCGACATATGCTATAGACACAAGCTGTTTGCCCTTGGGCGCCATCCAGGCGTACGGTGGTACTGGCATTTTCCCCTCGCCGATGAGCGCTCCTCCTGTCAGGCTCCGACTTCGGTATGATCCGGGCATTTTCATGTGTGGCCGTGATTCGGTGAGTTCGGGGTTGGCGCGGAGCTCCGCAACGAGCGGATGTTTGTTGATCGTCTCTTCCACCATCTTCGCCTCTTCGTGGTTAGCGACGAATCGCCGCAGGCTCTCTTCGTCTGAGTGGAAGCCCAAGCCGTTCGAATGCATCGTGTACCATGTTCCAAAACCGCCTGCTGTGCTTGCGCCTACGCCAGCGAGCAACATACCTGCCGCTCTCTTGAAAGCACCACCAGCGGGTGCTGTGGCTGCTATAGGTCAGATTTGTCAGTACATCTTGCGGGTATAAGTGCTTTGAGGGGCGCAGGCACACCTCCAGTCGCATAACTGCGGGACTGCGTAGGACGAGCAAAACGTTTGCAAGCTTGCGCTGCAAGACGTCCATTGCGACCAACTTGCTTAGAAAACATAGCGAATTTGTTGTTCTAGAGAGTGAACTCTGATAAATAAATAAAGGCGAAATCAAAGACAAAAAGAATATTAAAAAAAAAAAAAAAGTAGAACTTGAGAGATGCGCCGCCTCGGCTTTTGATTAGATTTAAGGTTGTCTTGGTTATCGGCGTTTCCGCCTTGCCTCGGATAGGAGGGTTGGCCTCGGCGTTTATTATGCACTTAAACGATAGCTAACGTTGTTCCTAGGTAGATACCCACCTAACGTGGAACGGGAAAGCTGTACATACCTTAGGTAGTGGCTTGTTAGGTAGTAGTTATACGTAGTAGGTATAGAGGTAGGTAGGTAGTTTAGCCTGCTGAAACCTACCTATGCGCCAAGTTGGCACGACCCTGATGATCGCGGGAAGATGTCCCAACTGCCATGGAGCCATGTGCTGGGACCCCTAGCACCTGACGTGAGTCTCATCCAACCAGAGTAGCTCGACGAGCTTGTGAGACATGATTTGTAGGAGACGATCAAAGGCCGCTGACGACATGCGTGCTTGCTTGGGCGTTTTATTCCTTGTTCACGTAGCCTAGGGAGTACCGTAGGCAGTATTTAAAGTGTGTGCATCTCCGTTTACCGTGGTCATCGAGTTCCTCACTCACTATACATTTTCAAATCACTTAGAACTCACGAGGCACCTTGCTCACAATGGTGAGATTGTCGAACTTGGTTGGCAAACTTGATATTAACTCTTTGATCCAGGCGACCGCTGAAACTGTAGATCTTGGCCCTGTTCACCCTCCCAAGGAGGACTCCATTACAGCCTTTGAACAGATCCTCCCCGAGCTCAAGAAGACTCTTGTTCATCTCCGCCACGACTACAATAGTGAGTCGATATGAGCCTACCTCTGATTGGATCTGAGCTGACCCCCCCCTCTTAGAGCACGAACCAGAGTACTTTGCAGCTGCTGTAAGTTCCATCCAATATTTCTCGGCTTTGGCTTATAAGATATAGGAACACCTCTCAGACCAAGACCTTGTCGGTTTCAGCGCTGACGACTTCGAAGCTGTCCGTGTCGCTACATCAGCCTACGGTATTCATTTGTTCGGCAAGCTTCGCATTCCCGCTTTGCCTGATCCTTCAGGCCCATCTTATATTCACTTCCGTGTCTTCATTGGCGGTGGTGATGAGCCCCCCAAGCTCCATAGCATTCACACCGAGGAGCGCGAGGATTCTAGTGGCGGAAAGACCTACAGAGCAATTTTCACCAAGAATGATGAGCTTGAGTGGTTTGATACCTGATTGAGACAAACAACAAGAGATGTATTTTATGTGACATATTGTCTAACATGCCTGCGCGCGTATTTCTTTCAGATGTGCCTTTTTTATTCCTGCATCCACATGTGTATTGTACCGCCAAAATATTAAAACATGGGTCCAGCTTCATCATGTCCCTCGCAATTTATTATAAGCTCTCCTACATATCCTCCTCTCCGGCCAAGAGCTCGGCATAATCGTCCACCGAGGCGAACATGGGAAGATCCTTGAGCTTTCTGCGCTTCGACTTCGTCTTCTCGCTTGCTGCCTCCTTGACCTCGAATCCCTCCTCATCCTCGCTTATCAAAGCACCACCCATCTCCTCATCGGAACCCTCGATATCCACACTCATGTCGTCGTCGTCATCCTCGCCCAACTCGCCATCCAAGGACAATGCTTGCGAGTCATCGTCCGATGCCATTTCCGAGTCGTCGAGGTCGAAGCCCACATCAGAGCCATCGTCATCAGGGTCAACGCCAGGTTGTGTAGACACTAGTGCCTTCCAAACTTCGTCTTCTTGCTCATCGTCAGATTCGACGTTTCCTGCAGCATTCTTCTTGGTCTCCTTGCCCTCCTTGTCAACCTGCTGGAAGTACTGGTGGAAGAAGATGTCCTCCGCAGGAACATCTTCCGCTTTCTTCTTCCAGAATGCGGATGAGTTCACAGACGACACGGCACCTCCAGCTCCACGACTGCCGAGCCAGATGTCACCAGCGTCCTTGGTAGCCCGTAGAGGCTGCATGATGGAAACGCCCTTGGCTGAATCGGTGACCTTGGCGTTTCGGTAGACGAACTTGTCCAAGAAGCGAATGAGTGAATGGCTATCAAGGTCCGGCTTCAATGACTTCTTATTGCGCTCCAATATCGACAACGCATAGACTGTAACCGACGGATGGTAGTGACACTGAAGAGGAATCTGAATATAGTCAGTATGATGGCACTGAGTGGAGACAACAAACTGTAACATACCATCTCCCACAAGCAGCTACGGTTGGCGTTGCTGTACTCGGGATCTCTCTTTCGACCATCGTATCGTTGCTTCTCATTTATGGGCTCATCGTCAAAGATGGACTCCTCAGGCTCTTCCAGTAAAGTCGAGAGATCAGGGAAACTCTCGCGTAGGTGCCCGACAAGATAAAGAAGTCCACATGTAAATGAGGGTTGATGAAGGCCAGAAATCTGGAGCATACGCTTGGCAAAGGCCTTGACCCGGCGACTATCAACATCGTTTTTGAGCGCGCGCAGAAGAAGGTTCAAGTAAAGTGCCTGCTTCGAGGAGTTCACCAGTCGAGGATCAAGTAGGGACTCGTACAAGGTCCTGTAAAATCTCTCGTTTGCAAGACTTCTTGATGAAGATATTTGTTGAATCAAGAGAAGTGCCTGGATTCCAGTGTTGAAGTTGCCTGAATGGGCAATCTTGAATAGTGTGTCTAGGTGAGATTCCATGCTGTTGTTGTGTCAGTGTTACGTGTCTACAACAAGATATGCTGAAAGAAACACAGAAGCACACATACATAGCATCGTTGCCAACCATGAATGGAGCTGCGCGATTGACTCCAGTCAAGATGGCAGATACAAGCTTATCAGCAGCCTCAGTTTCGGGCTCAGAAGCCGAGGGCTTTGCTGGCTTACCGCCTCGCGGTCTCTGAGGTCGTCGTCCAGTATTCCGTTTAACATCACCTCTGTTATCGTCATCTTTGCCTGGCTTCGAGTCCGTTGGCGCAGTGATGCCTAGACTTCCAGTCTTCAAAATGATAGTAAAAAGGTCAAAGTAAATTCGCATCAGGGCCTCAGCTAATGAAGGCTCCTTGTTGCTAAGTATTGTCTGGTTCAGGGTGTTGATGGCATAATACTTTGATCGATGGTCCTGAGATGGATGCAGAAGGATATCCTGTTCAATAGTCCGGACAATGATAGGTTTCATTCCAGGATGTGAATTCTGCAGCTGGAGAATGAGGTACGACGCTCGAGAAGAGATTTTACGATCTCGGTCACCCAACTTGTTCACAAGCAATCTGAGGAGGTTAGATTCTTGCTCAGGCTTCTCCTTGAGGAGGCCATAGACAAAATCGAGTGCTCGGGTACGTGAATACTCAATCTCATCTGAGCACCAGGATTCGAGCAGTTGAATGAGTCGAAAGTAAGTCGCCTTCAGCCAATCCTCGTATATCCAAGCAATCAAGTGGGCGGGCGTGATCTTACCAGGCAGCGCGTTACCAGGGGCCCAAGGCTTTCCAGGGTTTCGCTGCAAAGTTCCAACAAGCCCTGGCTGATCATGAAAAGCTCGAAGACGGCGGTCAGCAGGGAGCAATGTGCCGGGGCCAAGCAAATCAACCAGCGCGCCAATGGCACCAAGGGCCTGTCCTCGACTTTTCTTGGAGGCCAGGCTCATAAGAGCATCAAAAGCCCTGATGTTATGAACCGGAGATTCTTGAACGGCAAGAGTGAGAGCAGACACCTTATCGCTAAGCGTACCTGAAGTCATGATTGTTGACAAGAACTTGTGAGAAGATTGAGCAAAGACGCTAGTTCTGTATTTGGTTGCGTCCTCCTCCAGAAGTGCCTGAGCGTGCTGTTTCAGAGCATCCAGAGCGGCTCTGGGCGGAGTTGGCTCATCAGTAGTCGGTGCAGGAAGTTTGCGTAGCTCAGAATCATGCCAGTCTGCTCGAGGCTCAAAGGCCTGTCTTACTGTTAGCGGTCAGAAAACCCACCTTGGAAATCGTTCAACCTACCATGTTGCCTTTCTTTGGGGTGGGTTCCTTGGGTGCCACGGCCTGTTCTCGTTCACTATCGTCGTCATCAACCCCCTCAACTTCGTTATTTTCAGCATCGTCGTCCTCTTCCTCATCCTCTTGGTCGCTGGCTTCACTCATTTCAACCTCTGCAAATCCAAGTTGTTTGGAGAAAGCGGCCAGCTCATCCTTAAGGCTCTTATCGACAGCTCTAGAATCCTTAGGGCCCTGAGTGTACTCTTCGTCGTCAGAATCAACATCTTGAATAAGCGCCAGGTCGCTCTCATCGCCACCGAGGGCCTTAATTTCTTCTAGTAGAGTCTTTTCGTCGATCTTTCCGCTCTTCTCACCGGATGAGCCCTCGGAATTTCGCTGTCTCTTTTGATGTTGTTCGCTGTTAGCCTTGGTCGGAGGTTGCTTTCGTTTGCCAAGCTTTTTGTCGATTGTAGACGTCAGATTATCCAGTGCACTATTGTCGAATTTTGGGCCCTTGGAAGAGCTGCGAGGGCCTTTGCCTTTCGGTTTCTTAGAAGGCTTCGCCATGTTGTCAGAGCCGGTTCGCTGAATGAGGCTCTCAGATAGAATCTCTTAAATAGAAATAGATCTCAGAAGCCTCCAACTTTTTTTTTTTGGTATGACATTTTTCCGAGTGCCCCACCTCCACCTTCCGGGCGTCTAGCGCGTTTACGGGCGCTAATGCAGGATGACTAACACGATAGCAATTAGACGGAGAGCCTTCCGATTGTTGAAATACTATCAAAAGAGGACCTGATCTCATAAAGGTTGTATGTGTTGAGACCTCTTGTCGTATCAGTTTTCAAAATCATGATAGGAAAAAGGATTTCTCGTATAGGTGGCTCTCTTATCCAAAGGGGCCCCTTGGGTGTCCAGCTGCGTGCCTTGTCAGTCACAAGTCTAGCAAAAGCCGACTCGCAACGGTCTACCCTGTCGACAATATGGGTGCCAACCGGGGGTATCGCTGCTAATGAAGATGAGTGTGAGTTAATTATGTTTCCATTGAATCTATTGTGAGCTAATCAAATTTCAGTTGGCCATGGAAAACTCGTTCGCGGTGGTTTCCTCCGGCAGGTCGGTAGCTTAGCCCGAGTCGCCAAATCATGACTTGGGTGTTAATGCATCAGCAGGCTCACTCTGGTATTTTCCAGCTTCTTCCTCTAGGCCTCCGTGTTCAGGATAAGATAGAAAAGCTGATCGATAAACATATGCACTCAGTTGGTCAGTACGATTCCAGCAACTTAGCATATGTCATTAAAATGTTATCCATAGGTGCATCGAGATTATCTCTGTCAACCATTTCATCAGAAGAACTGTGGCGAAAGAGTGATCGTCTTGAATCTGTTGCGCCGGAGGTAAGAGCCTGGAGTTTTGATGAAGCGGTATGGGCTGACTCATTCAGCTTTTCCGACTCAAAGATCGTAAAAATACTCCGCTGATATTGTCGCCCACACACGAGGAGGAGATCACCACGCTTGTGGCCGGAATCGTTAATTCATACAAGGACCTCCCAATCCGACTTTACCAGATCAGTTCGCATTCTATCTTCAACATTGATGCTAAACCTACTGACGTTTCCCAGCCCGAAAATACCGTGATGAGCGTCGCCCTCGCCACGGTCTTCTGCGCTCACGGGAGTTCATGATGAAGGATCTCTACACTTTCGACCTCACAACACTTGAGGCTGTGGAGACCTATCGTCAAGTGTCTGCAGCATACCGCGCCTTCTTTGATGAGCTAAAACTCCCATATCTTGTGGCCGAGGCAAGCTCTGGTGATATGGGCGGTGACTTGAGCCATGAATACCACTTGCCGAGTTCTGTCGGAGAAGATACCGTGGTAAATTGTGACTCTTGTGGCTATACGGCTAACGACGAAGTCGCTGCTCTCCGGCCCCCCTCTCCGGCATATGATAGTTCGGAGAGCCCTCCGGCGTCCAACTTCCGTGTTTGGCGAGGCATCTCTAAGGATCGAAAAACCTTGATCAATGCTTGGTATCCTCGACCATCGGGGACCTCTGCAGAAAGTGGTCTCAATCTTCATGCTGTCAAATCAGCTGTCCCTGAGCTGGATGCCACTATTGAGGATCCGTTGCCACTTTGGGGAGTATCACTGGAGAGCGGAACGACAAAAGTGATCAATGTTGTTGATGGAAGACTTGTACCGGTATTTGAAAGGGTTCGCGACCAGTTGCCGTTGTTACCCAAAGATCTTCAACCATTCCAAGCTGAGTATTCAACAATTGACAGTACAGCCTCTGGTGGCGGGCTGAATTTGGCACGTATCACTGATGGCGATGCCTGCCCTCGATGTGAAGATGGCGCATTAAAAATCCATCGTGCTTTAGAGTGCGGCCACACATTCCAACTTGGAACTCGCTATTCAGTACCACTCGATGCCTGTGTAACTTTACCACGCTCGGGGATTCCGGCGACAGCTGCGGAAGAGGGACTGGCCCCAGGGAGTCGCATTCCTCTACAAATGGGCTGTCATGGCGTCGGCGTTTCGAGAATCTTTGGTGCTGTTGCAGAGATTCTCGCGGACGAGCAGGGACTGAGTTGGCCCCGAGCCATTGCACCGTTTGAGGTTGCGATCATATTTACACCAGACTTAGCCGAAGATTCTCTGAGAATTTACGACTTGCTTGCCGCGGGCGACAATTCGCGTAATGGCTTGGACGTTGTTCTTGATGATCGCCAGCGATCATTTGTCTGGAAGATGAAAGATGCCGATATAGTAGGGTTTCCTGTCTTGGTTATCATGGGAAGATCTTACAAAGAGAATGGAACTTGCGAGGTTCAATGCAGACGACTTTCGATCAAGGAAACTGTAAAGCTTGACGCTCTGCCAGAATTCATCTCAAATTTATTGGATCAGCTGTAAGGGATGAACCTGAGTTAGTATCACATAACTACTACATTCGAAGCCAATGTATAACAAACAAAGGACAGTTCATAGCAACACAGATCGATAAAATCAAACAAGTTAAAAGAGAAAAGAATTAACTAAAATGTAAGCATCAGGGTAAAACAATGGAAGAGAAGGCCACTAATTACTTCAGTACCTTACCTACCTGCCTAAGATCATAATGCAGCTACCTACTAAATTAGGTAGGTACAGCAAGGAGGTGTGCGGGCAAAATCAATCAGCGACAGTGCCTATAGCACCCCCGTTAGTAGAATTCAACAACCCCACGTCATTTTATTACTCAAGCGAGACCTTGGAGGGGCATTCAAAGGCACCTAGAAGTAATCTACGACAACTACTGCCTGTCCGCCGCCACTTCAGTATACACCGAAAAGATGGCTGGAAGACAAGAAACCAGTAAAGCTACCCAGTAACTCATTCTGAATATCCATCTGCTGACTCTACTGGCGCTATAGTCAACCTCGATACGCTAGAGCCCCAGCAGCTTGCCCAAGTCAAGAAGCAGCTTGATGAAGAGCTCGAGCACTTGACGACTTCGTTCGCACAACTCCATGCCGCCCAGAACAAGTTTAAAGACTGCCTCCAATGCGTGAAAAGCCGCACTGCCGCTCCCGAGGGTACATAATTCACCTGCTTAACCGCTTCCCACCCAGAGCACTGTCTCGCTTTCTGAATAGCACCTGACATGCTCCAGGATCCAACTCTGTACTGGTTCCTCTCACCAACTCACTCTACGTTCGTGGTGAGCTCACAGATGCCGATACTGTATTGGTGGATGTAGGCACTGGATTCTTGGTTGAAAAAGTATTTGTGATCCTGGCAAGCTCGGAAATGTTCACTGATTGACCACCATACAGAAACTCAAGTCGGCCGAAAAGTTCTACGAGAGCAAGGTTGAGGAGCTGGGAAATAACCTGAAAGATCTCGAGGTTATTGTCCAACGGAAGCAGACAAATGCACGAACGATTGAAGAAGGCATGTTTTTCTCGCAGCTTCTACTAGGAGCAAGGCTAATTTGACCCCTAACAGTTTTGAGACAAAAGATCATGGCTGGCCAAGGGCAAGGCGATCAACAGGCCTGAGAGGCAGAATTGAAAACTTCTCATCATTCTAGGCACCATTAAGATTAGCCAGACGCCAATTTAGTAGGTATCATCCGGTGATTCCCCAAGCGGCGCAGCATCACCCCTTGCGCACCTGCTATGACAAGGCAGTACCAGCATGCACTCTGTTCAGGAGGGCTTGGACCTCCATAATGGTCCGCAAGAAGCATCTGAGCCTCGACTGGAGATCATCACCTTCCTCCCAAATATTCTCGAGCCCCTCCCCCCAGTCCTTTCGGCCACCACTGGAGTAGTTCAGACTTTCCTCCCAGTGGGGGGCGTATAATTCAACACCCCAAGTACTATTTTGCTCCCCAATCGTACGAGATCCCTTTAGAGTCTTGGTGATGTTGATCTTGAGCACATAGGGGGATTCTTTGAATGGAATGATTGCCCAAGATCTTGCCTGAATTTCAGTGAATTGCTCATCGGGAATCGCAAGTTTACTTGTGTCGACATTTGGCAAAGGGAGAATGGTGCCCTCGTCTGGCTTGAAGACAACCGATATTCTCTTTGCAAGATCTCTAAACTCTGTTGGGACGTCCACTTTGTCCCAAGCATCCATTCGAATGTTCCAATCGTGTTCCCTGTAAGTGCAAGACATGAGTAAATGGGATTTTTCCTTCTTCGAATAATTAACGTACATGTCAGGAGCAGCAGTCGTCCAACTCCAACGTGCCCGGGTCTCTGGCCTCGTAGCGCGGACCATTGCTAGTTGCGTAAGTTGGGGGTTGTAGTCGGCCTCAGTCTTGATTTGCAGGCCGTTGGCCACTACAACCACTTCACAACCTCGCCTCATGTCCTTTATGTTCTTGCAGATGCCTGCCTCTGGGCATGAGATATACTGCAAGAGTTTCTCCGCCTCGTGAGCGTCTCCAAGTCTATTGCGTGTCAGACATAGTGATACGAGTTGGGTATATAGCCCCGCTCACCTGGTTACCATCGAGGCTCCTCCACGACTGGGATACATGTTCATAAGTGTGGTGAAATGGTCGAATGTGATTTCATCTTCTGTACCTCTCGGTCTCTTGGCAATGATAACGTGTCCGAAACTGACTCGCAAGCCCATGGTCTTATTCAGTGCCATGAGGCCTTCCCCCGAGGATGCCAGGTCCGACACCAGTCTTGGCAAATGTTCATCCATTGAAGAGACGTTAGTGATAGGATTCGAGGTTTTAGAAAGAAATGATGGGCGAGCTCCAAGTTTCAACTGAATCATGTCAGTGGCGGCCGCTTTAGTTGGCCTCTGTATAAGAAAGCGTGTGGGAGAACTGTCGTTAGATAGACGCATGTCCCGAATTCTCCAGTTGACCGCTTCAAACGCCTTCTGGAGGCGATGGACAGAATCGCAGTGCATTTCAAGAACATTTGGCACATCCCGCGTGATATAGACTCGATGCTTTTTGCGTATATCGTCGAGTGCCGCGGGTTCATCCAACGCAACAGGTAGCAAGTGTTGCCCTGGAAGTGCAAGGCTCGCCTTCAAGTCTCGTCAGATATTGTCAAATAAGCTTAGAAGTGAATTCGAGAGGATCCTTACCTGTGCTAGATATTTTCCTGGCGGTGGACGGCCAAGGTGTTCAGCATCCTCGGCTTGCCGGATCTTGTCTTCTCTACCTTGGTAAATGTTCTTCGCTGTCTTCAACTTCTCATTTTTCGTCGACGCAAACTTGAGCGCCTTTGAGAGAGAAGTTTGAGGCATGAGGTCACCTCTACCCGAGGGGACTCCTCCCCTGCCCTGATACATAACGTCACGTAGCACCGGTACCCAAGAGAGAACAGAGAAGAATGAGCTTGTGACAAGCAGAAGATGTTTATCTTGATCCGAGACTCAGGCCGGAGATCTTGAAGTGACTGAAAGCGATGGGGAAATCTTGCGTTGGGGAGAGTTGAGAAGGCGGAAGGGGTGGGAGAAGAGGTGCATTGGAAACAGCCCAGTGAATCACAGCCGGGCGACTGCCTTAGGTAAGGGAGGTAGGTACTTTCGGGATGAAGCAAACAGTTTTACAGGTATTAGGTTTGTTTGAGCGCAAAGCTGATACTGCCACCTTACCTTATTGGCAAAACATGGTTGCTCTTTCTCGTTTGCTATCCTGCATCCTGCATGGCACTTGCACACCTTTCAGCTCACAGGTATTTGTCCACCTCACGTCGTAGGTAGTGGTATATAGTAGGCTAAGTCTAATTAATGTTAGCGATTAGGAGTAGACGCATAGTATGCACCTCACGTAGCCTAAAGCTTCTCTTGAATTCCATGGCGTGTCTGAGTTAGTATAATGGATATAGGTAAGAGTAAGTTGTATTGACCAACTGGAGTTAGAAGAAGTTATTTAAATTATATATACTATTAATTATTAAGATTAGAGGATACTTTAGTTCTAGTAGTATTATTAAGGCGGAAGAGTAAGATGTAGATTACAACTCTCTATAATTCCTTTCAACTCTGTCTCTTAGGTATGATTTTGTTGCGCAAAGGCAGCAATAATGCGACCATGGATGTAAGGCACAGTATCAATAGCATACGACGTGCCTGGTAGGTGTTGGAGATTCTCCACTAGGTACTAGGTAGTACTTAGCCCACCTAAGCTAGCTAAGCCTACTAGTAGGTACCTACCTAGTATGCTCAAGATATACTCCGTAGTATCGCTATACAGCCCCCCGATATATGCATAGCCTATAGCAACCAATTATTTGTTCTTACTTCAGTCGCGTCTCCTCGACGCGTGAATTGCTGTGGCAGCACCCAGCACCGGATAACGACAAAATAATGGCCCCCATCAATTCAGAAGAACATACAAAGCGCCAGCTGTCTAAAGTTCCCCAAGATCTGTCTGACGATGAGCTTGCGGATGTAGAACCATCATGGCAATGGATCTACAACTCTACCACAACGACCGAGCGAGGTGACGGAACACAGAGCGATAGAAAACGAAGAAAGGTGACAGGCGACAGGATTGTCGGGGCAAGGATTGGCCAATTTGAATGCAAAATTGGAGACACTGTCATGCTCAAAGCTGATGGCTCTAATGAGGCCTGGATCGCCTTGATCTGCGAATTTGTTGAAGACGATGGCGAGGGAGAGAAAGCAGCAAACTTTATGTGGTTTTCGAGTGAAAAGGAGATTCGAAGTAGGGACAAGAAACGATCCGATTACTACCCAGTCAGCTTTGGAAATCCGTTGACGCTGTTGGATGGAGACTAATCAAAAGTTATAGAATGAACTCTATATCTCTCCATCATGGGATATCAACCCCCTGGCATCGATCAACGGCAAAGCTAAGATCATGTCTCAAGATGGTTTCCTTACGAGATACCCCCAGGGTAAGGTTCCTCGAAATGATCCAGACTTCGGTAAGGTCTTTGTCTGTCGACGAGGCTGCAATACCCGCACTGCTACATACACAGATGAATTTATATGGGAGGAAATATATGGGGGTGAGAATGATTTGTTCGCCTTGATGGATAGGGTCAAGACCGGTACAAAAGTCACACGACGTCGTCGAAAGGCTCGGAGTCCATCACCCTCTGATGATACTTACCATCCTGCTCAAATCCCGCAGACACCAACCAAAACAGGACGGGGCTCGGTAGCTGCTACGCCAACTTCACGAAGGAGCCAAGCCACACCAGGCTCTCGTGTCAAAAGGTTTGCGATGAAAGCCCCTCCCAATGGCAATGGTTATTAACAATTACTTATAGGAGTGCAAGCAAGAGACTTGAGTTTACGCCTTTGGCCACGCGCAAACTGTCGCCCAGTCAAGTTGAATCTTCACCTTTCCAGATAGCACGATCTCGCCTGCATGTCTCGTCGGTCCCAACCAGTCTTCCTTGTCGGGAAGGAGAATTTTCTTTGGTTTATTCTCATCTTGAAGCAGCTATTTCCGATGGCACAGGTAACTGTATTTATATTTCTGGAACACCTGGAACAGGGAAAACAGCAACGGTCCGCGAGGTCGTCTCCAGGCTCGAAGAAGCTGTAGGCTCTGATGAGCTGGACGATTTCATATTCGTGGAGATCAATGGTATGAAGATCACGGACCCTCACCAATCCTATACTCTTCTCTGGGAAGCCCTTAAAGGGGAGAGAGCCAGTCCAGCGCAGGCTCTTGATCATCTGGAACGAGAGTTCAGCAACCCTAGCCCTCGCCGAATTCCCTGCGTTGTACTCATGGATGAGCTTGACCAACTAGTCACAAAGAATCAGGCCGTCATGTACAACTTCTTCAACTGGCCCACTTTACGACATAGCCGTCTTATTGTACTTGCAGTTGCAAACACCATGGACCTCCCTGAAAGAACCCTCAGCAATAAGATCAGCAGTCGACTAGGTATTATCTCAATCTGACACATTGCTGTAATATTAACCAAAAACTCAGGTCTTACACGTATCACATTCCCTGGTTACAATCACGAACAACTGATGAAGATCATCCAGTCACGACTAGAAGGTGTTCCTGGAAATATCGTAGATCCGGACGCTATACAGTTCGCCAGCCGAAAGGTAGCCGCAGTCAGTGGTGACGCCCGGAGAGCCCTTGACATATGCCGCCGAGCTGTAGAGCTCGCCGAGGCCGATGCTCCTAGTGATCCTGCAACTCCAAGCAAGCGAGACAGTCAAGCGCAACCCAAAGGTTCAGGTCGTGTTACGATTGCGACAATCAAGAAGGCTATCAACGAGGCAACCACTAATCCCATCCAACAACACCTTCGAAGCCTGCCTTTGATGTCCAAGCTTGTCATGGCAGCTCTTTTGCTGCGAATTCGAAGAACAGGTCTTGCCGAGACAACCTTTGGGGATACTCTCGATGAGATACACCGTGCCTGCCTTCGAGCTCCAGCAGCGCTTCCAGGTGTAGCAGCAGTTCTCAATAATGGCCTGAAAGGGACGCAGATAGGAAGTCAGCGCCCAATGACCAGACCCGGTCACATTCACATAGCGGCGCTCGAATTAGTAGCAGCCGGCCTGATTAACCTTGAAGCTCAGCGTGCAGAGAGATCCAGTAAGCTCCGTCTTTCTATTGCAGACGATGAAGTGAAGATGGCCCTCCGTGATGACGGAGACCTTAAGGCTTTGGGTATCGGTGTATAACAGTTGTAGTGTAGTATAGAACCCGAACGGCGTCCTGCGACAATTCATCCTTAATATGAAGAAGAAAATAATACTACCTCTAATCGCTCCTTTAAAACTTTCGTCGGGCCAGTGTGGGCTTCCATTCGAGGGGGTGTGATTCTTCTGTTGCTGTTTCGTCTTGCTTCCAGATTTTGACTGGGATAGATGCATTAGCGAGGCAAAGACAAGCATGCCGAGGCAAGATAGAGACTTACTTGTTTTATCAGCTTCACCACAGATCAGACGTAGGCCAGAGCGATCGAACGTTGAGCTCATGATACCTGCCTCGGCATCAAGAGAACCGGGTTGAGCTGTGGTATCAAGAGATTGAAATCGATGGCCAGTCTTCCAATCCCAAAAGCTCATGGAGCCATTATCGCCTGTAGTTCAAATTAGACACATGTGGCGAGGAAGATCGAATCGTATCGCTTACCTCCTGTAAAGAAGACATTTTGCTCGTTTACACTCATGGTGTTAATAATAGCATTATGGCCCTCGAAGTTCTGCATAAAAGCACCTTCAGGGCACTTCCATTGCTTGACGCTCCCTGTGCTGCCACTAGCAAATGTGAACTCTGATGGATGTGTTGCTAGAGCACGAACACCTTTCTTGTGATGAGTTAGCACACCCATGGTCTTGCCAGCTGCGAGATCCCAGAGTCGGACTGTCGAATCCAAAGATCCGGTGATAACTTGAGGGTCAGCCTCTTGACAAACAAGATCAGAAACCGTCTGGGTGTGGCCAGACAGAACGTGTATGTTACTCCTGGTCCGCATATCCCAGACACGCGCAACACCATCGCGACCGCCAGTGACCAGAACATCGAGGGTTGGATGTAGGGCAAGAGTATAGACACCGCTGAGGTGTCCGTGGTAGTGGCGAATGACTTTGTTAGTCTCGAGATCCCAGCACTTGACCATCTTGTCTTCGCCACAAGAGAAGAGGTAAGGATGACGAGGGGACACTGCGAGGCCGCGCACAGTACTGATATGTCCAGTAAGGGTCAGCCTCAGCGAGCCCGTGGCCAAGTCCCAAATCTTGATAGTTCGATCACCTGCGCCGCTTGCAAACCATTTGTTGCCAGGTTCAACGGCCAGACTACGCACCCAACCGAGATGACCAGAGATAACCCTCATTAACTTCCATGGCGCGTGCCATTCTGGTTTCTGCTGCTGAAGGCCTTGCACTCCTCTTGACGTAAGACTCATGTTCTGTGGTGTGCTTTCGTCCCTGGCAGCAGGAGCAGATGCCTTGCCCGAACTAGGCGCACCCTCGAGGAGTTTCATTGCTGGGCGAGCAGGCACACCAGCCTTAGACGTTTTCTTCCCAGGCTGTTTCGTTGGGAGCTTCGCAGTAATTGATGGCGGTAAAGTCTCGACATCTGAGTATTCATTGTGGAACCGTCTCTTGATGATGGGGTCCTCGGACGCGTCGTCTAGCTTCTGGCGCTTTGTAGTCGATCGCTCGGATGCATGAGCGTAGACTGTTCTCGAGACGTTCGCATTTTGTGCGGCAAGAATATTGAGTCGAAGAGCATCTTGAGGCACTTCTGGTGTCTCCATGATGTATGGGCGCTCGTGTTTGCGACTCAAAAGCACTAGGATGGCCGCTCGGGATGATGATGATGATGATGATAAACCGGGATATCTTTTGTGATGGAAGCGTGTAAAGGCTGGCAGCCGCGTGTGGCGCTAGTTTTTTCTACACACTAGCGCCACAGATGTGTGGCTAAGAGGATCGGTCTCCTAAGGTACTCCGTACTACCTAAACTGGAAGATAAGGTGCTGTATCCTGCTCTCCACGTACCTGACTTGATTCCTGCTAGCTCTCTTCTGCGCTAACAGGGATCTACGTAAGATCAGCTACCTACGGCCAGTCGTCACACTAACAAGCAGCACCTGTTTGATACCTCCAAAGCGACGGGAGTTTATTAACAACATTAATCTTCTTATCAGCTTCTGTCGCTTCGTAGGCAGTATGGATATGGACGATAAGTTTCCTCTTCATACCGCTGCTCGTGAGGGGCGAGGTATGCTTAATGAATTATACAAACTCCATGACTGGGATCACCACTAATCTGCATATATAGTAACTGTTTTTGAAGGGCTTCTCAAGGTCAGCATTCATATTTATAAGTGAACTGTATGTCTCAGACATTGATTACTTGGACAGTCAGACCCAAAATTGTCGCAACGGAAGGACAATGATGGTCGGTATCCAATACACTGGGCAGCTTCATCTAACAACTTGGACATCGTCCAGTTGTTAGCCAACCAACGCTGTTTCGATGCTGATGTCCAGGTGAGCAACGACTTCTCATTGAAAGTCCCCCCCTCCAGAACTATAACTGACGCATTCTAGGATGAAAGCGGGTGGTCTCCTTTGATGATCTCAGCCAGTGTTCCGGAGGGTGAAGCTGTTGTCAAACTTATCATGTCCAAAGACGCGGACGTGAACCTTAAGAGTAAGTCTTGCTCTCCATCTATCAATTCAAATATACTCACCGGACCTCGAAGACTCTGCTGGACAGGTAAAGCTTCCATCACTAAGTCTGAATCGAGAAGCATCTAAGCTCACCATATAGACTGCCCTTCACTTTGTCGCCTCCAAGAAGAACCTTGATATTGCCCGCGTTCTTATCGACAATGGCGCGTCGACCCGAGTACGCGATCGCAGGGGACAGTATCCCATACATCGCGCTGCTGCTGTCGGTTCTGTGCCAATGGTGACTCTGCTTCTCAGAAACAGAAGTCCGCTAAACCCTGCTGATAATGAGGGTTTCACCCCCCTCCATCACGCAATTGCAGAGGGACATGGTAAAAAGCTTCTCTTTGCCACCGGCGTCAAAAAGTCACTGACCTCTGTTCCTCAGGAGACACTGCTGTTGCCCTGCTCAAAGAAGGCGCTGATTTCACCCTAAAGAACAGCGCGGATGAGCTAGCACTTGATCTGGCACCAGATAAAGAAGTATGTATATCTCTAAAACACTATTGAACATGGAGTTTTTGGCTCTCTTCTCTTCGCACCACTCTATAAACTCCCATCTAACTCTGTCTCTGTGTCAACAGGTACGCCGATATGTCTTACAAGGTGCAGAGCGTGAGGGTATCGAGTTGCCAGGGTAGCTAGGAATACATGCTGGAAGAAGGAAGAAAAAAGGTGCAACACATCACGACTTTTCCCGAGTCTAAGATGCAAAAACGAGAAAGCAATGAAAATAAGGCAGAAGATAACCAAGTAAAATAGAATCAATCTCTTCCCTTTTCTTACTTCATCACGGTCCGTTCCACCAACTCACGATACATATCCTTAACGTCCTGAACATCAGCCTTGAGCTCCTCAACGAGCTCGCTCTTCTCGCCCAGCATCTCTAATGTTGTCTGGTATCGCGAGTTGATATTCTCTACTTCTGCTTCTAACTCTGTTACCCGTGCTGAAGCGGTTTTTTGTGTTTCCAGCTCTGTCATTAGGTTCACAATATCAGATCGCGCTTCGTCTCGCTGGCTGCATACACGAGCCATCTCTTCTTTGGCAGCCACCTTTTCGGCTTCCAGTCGTCGAATTGCCGCGCTCATTCTCTCGACGAGCTGAACGGAAGGACCTGCCCCAACTGTCGAGACCGAAATCATGTCTTGCGCAACGTTGCGGGGAGATGAAGGGTCACCGTCATCTAGACCGTCATCACGATCTGGCGGCGGTGATGCGGCGCGTGGTGACTCGGTAGGTGGCTCAAAGGGCGAGAAAGGAGGTGGGGGAGGTATCGCATGACCGGCCGTGGACAAAGCGCTAGGACGAGGGGGTTGACTGGACATTCTTCGTCCAAAGAAGAAGCCATCGCCGGCGCTTTCGGTTTGGCTTCCCGGTGTGGGCACTCGGCGAGGCTGTCTTGCTGGTACAGGAAGCCCTATGAAGTCCGAGCTAAAGGTTCGGGCAACAGAAAGCAATGGGGAATCGGGTCTGCTCTGAGACCGGGGTGTGCTTGTAGCAACATCGTCTGCCCATTGCCTTCGTTCGGCCTCGGCCGAAACCTCCCTGCTCGCCGCTCGCTGTTGCTTCTCGAGCTCGTTGCGTGCCTGTTCAAGGGCCGTCTCCACGCTCTTGTGTTGGATTCTGAGGGCAGCAAGCTCTTCACGACATGTCTCGAGTTCCTGCCGAGCGACTGTGAGAGCTGGACTAACGTCCTGCAGCTCATCCTCGAGTCGCTTATACCGAGTTGCCTGTTGAAGATGTCAGCCATCTTCCCCCTTTTTTAGTGTCAAGAATATATAATTTACCGCGTCACGAGCCTTCTTCCGCATTTCCGACTCTCGCCGTTGCGCTTCGTCCCTCTCCTTTTCAAGGCTGGCAGCCTTGGCCAGGAGTGAGGTCTCTATACCTTGCCAGTTCTCGCTGGCTGATGCATACTGCGATTGGAGGGTTTCAATATGTCGTATCAACTTGATGTCACCACCAGATCCTGCAGAAGCCTCCTCGGCCGTCACTCTCATTGCCTCGAGTTTGCCCTCGACCGCTCTCAGCTCAAGTTTCAGCTCTTCTTCAATATTCCGACCACGTTCCAATGCCCGGTCTAACTTCTCTTGCCACTCAATCTCAGTCAGGTGCAATTTCTCAACCAATGCCTCTTTTTCTGACCGCAGTGATGCGATAGTACGGTCAAGTTCCTGCTGTTTGTTCTTCTCAACATCCAGCGCCTTTTTCAATGCCTCAGTATGGGTGGCTTGTATTTGCTCAGTCTTGGCTTTAGATTCTTGCTCCAGCCGTCGATATGCCTCCTCCTTGACAGCTTTGTCTTTCTTCAGGGCGTCGAGTTCCTTCTGGAGCATAGCGTTCGCTTTTCGCACTTCCTCATTTCTCTGCTCTTGCTCTTCCTTGTTGTTTATCCGACTACGCAGAGATTCCACCTCGGCTAGAGCCTTTTCTTTACCTTGTTTGAGTTCATTGGCCTGCTTCTCGTTGTCTATAATCTGGGTGCGCAGCTTGCGAACCGTTGTTCGGAACTTTTGCTCTGAAGTTGAAAGCTTTCGTCCTTCCTCCATCAGCAGAGCGATCTTCTCATCCTTTTCGGCCAATTTGCGCTCTACACTACCTGCTTCAGCAGAGCTTGCAGTCTGCCTAGCTGCATCGGCGGCATTTTTGGATAGAAACTGCAATTTGGCTTGTAGCGAGTCGATTTGCTCAATGTACTCTTGAATCTCTTCTGCACGAGGCGCGTGAGCTTGAGGGGCGTCCTGGTCTTTCTGTGACTCTTCAACTGAAGCATCTACGATCTGTGGTGCCTCTACGGGATGCCTGATATCTGATATTGGGCTGTTCGGCTTTTGCTGGATGCTGGATTTTTCCGTAACTTCTTCTGGTGTACTTCGAGGTTCGGCCTCAAAAGGCGGCTCAACGATAATCGGGGTGGGAAAATCATGCTTGAGGTTTTGTTCACTAACCTCCTGACTATCGCTTCCTTCAGATGTCGCTGGTTGTTCAGCTGGGGGGGCGGAAGCTGGGCTGTCAGAGGAGGTTGACTTGTCGACTTGGTTGGCGGATTCAGTTGGCTTGATTTCCGGTACTTCGATGCTTTGTCTCGTCACTACGGGTTCAGTGCTAGCAGGGCGCTCCTTATCAACCGAACTACGAGAAGTATCGATGGAGCTGCGAGGAGACGATTGTGAGGTTCGCGAGGCCATAGCCTTGGCCAACCTGGCTTGTAGACGATCATTGGCACGGTTGGGCTTCGGGGCGGCAGCTATAAAGAACAAGGAGTCAGCATGCGACAGTCTGCCCACATAATAACACGGTAGAGGAGAGAATAGAGGCATACCAGATGCAGTCGGTTTGGGGCTTGGTGATGGCGAGGGCGAGGGCGCGGGCGCGGCCTTCATTCCCTGCTGCTGCTCATATCCTTGTGCTGCCTGTTGGTCTTCGTCAAGTAGGTTGTCGAGACGATTCTCGACGCCTTCGAAGGCCGACGAGAGGAACGCTCCCCAGCGCGACCCTTTGCCCGGCGCAGTCATGGTCGAATGACGAGAGCGCCCGAGATGTTGGGTCACAGCTCGTCGTTGTCGGTCGTCAACTGATTGACGTGATCGCTGGTGGTCACCTCATCGATGTGCCGCAGAAGAAGTTGATGTAGCGCCTGGGAGCGGCGCTTGAGTAGGCCAGGTTGTACTGCAGCTGCAATGTAGGTGTGTAGTTGTAGTTCGGTGGTGGTGATTTGCAGGGCAACGTTGGCTTGAAGGTTGAGGTGTCGTCAGCGCAACTTGAGAGTGGCATGTACTAAGGTTAGTGGGTGGTAAGTGGAGTGAGACATGGATCTCAAGACCAGGGAGGATGCTCCAGGATGATTAGAACAAGGGACAGGCTACATGTATTGGAATTACCTCTATCATTGCCTGATGAAGTCACCCAAGGAATTCAATTTAATTACCATGTGAATTGGATTGAATTGCCCCCAACTCGTGTACTTCCGTAACTTAAAAGTGGCGTTAGTACAGCCAGGAAAATGGCCAAAAATTGACAAATAGAGTAGAAAAGGTGCCCTTTGCCTCTATAGCAATGTGACTTGATAAGAGTCGACACAAAGAGACCTCCAATAATCAAGATTATTCAGCTTCAATAACGAGCAACTTCTAAACTAAAAAACTATTTATTGAGTTTACATCGTGCCTTGTTACCTGGGTATACATGTAGTACAACAGCTCGCTATATCCAGCATATAAGGTACAGTCCAAGTACATACTTATCCAGACTGCAAATACCATACCAGTCCATGATCAATATCCAATGCTAGAATATACTCGAAGCACCAAATCCCAGACATGCCATGAGTTGATAATGTCAAGCCAAACCTAAACACCGACCATATCCATGTTGGTGCCATGTTGACGTAGAACGTGGTTACCAAAAACAAGAGCACCACATCGAAATGCATGAAGTAGTGACAAACATCCAAATAGCATTGGCAAACACGCTCGCTTGAAATAGGCTCTCATGTATCGTTCGTTCGTTCGTTCGTTCATCCATCATCTGATCACTCCTCATCCAGCGATCTTCTTCCACCAACTTGTGCGAGGTGTTGTTGTTGTTGCCTCCATAAAGGTTGGCGCTCGACGGCTGTGATGTCGTTCGTCACTACCTTCCGAGCGCCTATCTCGGTGACGTTCTCTATCTCGACCGCCGCGCTCACGATCGTCTCGCCTTGCTCGTCGCCTTCGCCGATCTTCGGCCTCTTCTGTGGGCTCTTCCTCGTATTTCGATCGATGAGCTCGACGAGCTTCACGTCTTCCCATCTCATCCTCGGTCTGTCCACCATTTGCTTCACCCCCGTCACCGAGGTCAGGAGGAGGGGGCGCATCGGAGTGTTCCTTGACCCATGATGAAGTTCCAGAATGAGGCCAAGCTGGAGCCTGCGGCCTCTCTTCGCGACGATGGGATCTCCGCTGATTATATTCGTCTGCAGATTGCTGACTTCGTCGCTGACGACCTTCCTCCTCTTCAGCACCTCGAGCAGCTCGCTTTGTGTCGCGGCGGCGGCGTTCACGTTTGGCAGCTCGACGAGCCTCTTCGTCTTCGGCTTGTTCTGCGGCTGCGGCTGCTTCCTGTTCTCTACGCAAGCGCCTACGTTCAGCTCTTTGTGCCTCCTTTTCCTCTTGCAGTCGTTGTTGTTCTTCTTGCGCATGTCGCTCCTCCTGGGCTCGTCTTGCATCTTCATCACGCTGTCGTCTGCGTTCAGCACGGCGGGCTTCTTTGTCTTGCCTTAGAGGATCGGCCTCTTCCTCGCGCTGTCGACGTCGTTCACGGCGTGCCTCATCTCGAGCTCGACGCGCTGCTTCCTCGGGGTCAGGACCACTTTCAGCAGCCCTCTTGGCCCTGCGTGCAGCGCGTCTTGCTTCGCGGTCAGCATCTACTAATACTGCATCACCATCCATTTTGGCGCTACGTAAGGCCTCGTCGTCAGTTGTTGCATAGGTACTGCGACGTCGCAGAGGGTCAGGTCGTTCAGTCTTCGGCGTTCGCAAACCACTGAAGAGGCCAGCGAAACCTGAGGACTTCTTGGAACTTCGCGGAGGTGCGTCAAAGGGAACGTCAGGCTCCACCATCACGGGCTCTTCATCCTTCGATCTCTTGGCTCGCCGACGTCGTTCGGTATCTACCACGGCAACGTCTTCCTCTTCGCGTGATCGTGGTTTGTGAGACCGGCGGCGCTCGCGTCTATCGGGCGCGAGTTCGGGATCTACCATAACCAAATCATCGTCCTCATGCGACCGTGGTTTATCTGAACGACGTCGTTCATACCTATCAGGCACAGGAGCAGCGCCGGACATCATTGCATCTTCATCTTCGCGTGATCGAGGTTTACGCGACTTGCGGCGATTGCTTAATTCATCCTCGCCCATGAGCACATCTTCAGGAGGAGGCGATACAAGTCCGCGAGCATTAGTAGAGTGGCGACGTTTGCTGCTGATGCCGTCTTTTTTCTCGCGCACGGTAGCGGAACGAGTGAGTGGTGGTTTACTGAACAAAGCAGTGCCACGAGATCGTGATGGAGTCTTCTCAACTTTGTCAGATGATGAACCCTTAGACGACGTCTTTTCCTCTCGTCGTCTATGTCTAGTTGACTTCTCTTGGGGCTCATCCCTCTCTTCATGTGGTGTCGCAGCCCACCGACCAAATGAAGTTCCTTCGCGATGAATTTTGGGTCTTCGAGACTGCTTCGGCTCAGGTGGTGGCGTCAATGGAGGATCTGGAACTGGAGGAGGCGGAGGAGCATCGCGACGGGATTTGCTCTTCCTACTTTTCCTTTCTTTCTTTGGCGATAAGTCGATGACCTCAACAATCTCGTCATCTGCAGGGGCTTCCGGGACGTGGTCCTTTGGGAGTACCTCTGGTTCCTTCTCTTCATCTTCGAGAATAGCTTCATTTTCGACGTCACTCGATTCTTTATCCGCAGTGACTTCAGCGTCCGCTTCTTGATCCTCATCGTTGTCCTCGGCTTCCATGTCCGACTTCTCATCTTCAGGAGAGTTGCCGGATTCAACTACATCCGCTTCCTCACCTTCTGCTGCTGCGGGAGCCTCTTCTTTCGCGGCTAACTCTGCAGCACGCTGGGTAGCGTTCTCCTCTAAAACTCTTAGTCGTTCGGTGTCCTTTCTGCCGAGCCTACCTTTTCTTGCTTTCTTGAATTGGAGGGAGTCAAGCTCCTCAAGTTCTTTCGTGACCACCTCACGAGCTGCAGCTTCTGCCGCCTCTTTAGCGGCTGCCTCCTCAGCATCAGTATCGTCTCCCCCCTTGCTCATTTCGCCATTATCGATATCCTCTTCCTCTTCCTTGTCCTCGTCTGCTTTTTCTTCTTCCTCTTCCTGCTCATCCTCTTCAGCATCATCAGCTCCGAGGTCTTCTTCCGCAGCTGCTGTTTCCTTAGCGGCACGTTCTTCGGCGCGTTTCGCTGCGTTATCCTCCAAGACTCGAAGCCGCTCGGTGTCTTTTCGGCCCAGTCTGCCCTTTCTTGACTTCTTCGCTTGTAGGGCCTCAAGTTCCTCCTCTTCCTCAGCGATAGCTGCCTCCTCTGCTTCCCGAGCTGCTGTCTCCTCTGCTTCTTGGATTGCCAACTCTTCTTCGTCTGCTTCAGGCTCTTCCTCTCCGTCTTCCTCTCCGTCTTCCTCTTCTTCTTCACCTTCCCCTTCCTCCTCACCTTCATCGTCTTCCTCAGGCGGATGGATCATAGCAGCCTCAGCGGCAGCACGTTCTTCTGCGCGCCTTGCTACATTCTCCTCCAATATGGCAAAGCGTTCAATATCCTTCCTGCCTAACCTGCCCTTTCTTGCTTTCTTGGCTTTAAGGGCCTCGAGCTCGGCTTCCTCTTCCCTCGCAATAGCTGCCTCTTCAGCTTCTTCGTCTTGTATCTCTAGAGGCTCCGGCTCTGGCTCCGGCTCTGGCTCCTCCTCCTCCTCCACTCTTCCGGTCTCTCCCACACCTTCGATATCAGGCTCCTCCTGAACGACTTCAGTCTCAGCCTCAACAGCAGCTCGCTCCTGTTCACGGCGGGTAGCATGTTCCGTCAAGACGATAAATCTCTCGGTGTCCTTCCGACCAAGCTTTCCCTTCTTTGCCTTCTTTTTCATTAAAGTTGCCAGTTCTGCCTCTTCCTCAACGATTACCGCTCGCTCGGCCTCCTCCAGGCCATTATCTTCAGGCTCAGGTTCAGCAGCTTCAGATTCTGGTTCGGGTTCGGGTTCACCAAGCCCTGCTTCAGCCTCTGCCACCGCGTCTTTTGCATCTCGGATTGCCGCCTCCTCAGCACGTTTAGCAGAATTCTCTGTCAGCGCTTGGAATCTTTCAGTATCTTTGCGGCCCAATTTTCCTTTCTTAAGCCTCTTCTTCGTCAATGCAGCCAACTCGGCCTCTTCTTCTGCGATGAAGGCAGCTTGTGCCGCCGCCTCAGCTAACTTAGCTTCGGCTATGGCCGTTTCATCTTCCTGATGATCAGGCTCAGCAAGTTCCTCGGCTTCAGGTTCTAGCTCCTCAGCCAACTCGTCTTCCTCGCCGTCTTCAGCATCGACAAATTCATCGTCCTCCTCTTCCTCAGCTCGGGGGACGTCTCCTAGATCCTCCCCTGCTTCCTTGGCTGCCTCAGCTTCGGCACGCTTTGCAGCATTTTCGACAAGGATATTAAATCGCTCAGTATCAGAACGACCCAGTTTGCCTTTCTTTGCTTTCTTCTTGTTTAATGCTGCAAGTTCTGCCTCTTCCTCTGCAGCAATAGCTGCTGCTTCAGCGTTGGCTGCCTCCTGGGCAGCTACCTCTTCTGCATCATGGTTCTCCTCGGGCTCCGGTTCAAGAATATCATCAACCCCGTCAGGCATCAATTCTTCAGCCTGGCCGTCAGGTTCGGTTTCCTTGATAGCGCGTTCTCCCGCGCGTATAGCTGCGTTTTGCATCAACAAATCAAAGCGTTCTGTATCCTTTCTGCCAAGTTTGCCCTTTCGCGTCTTTTTAAGAGTAAGGGCAGCGAGCTCCTCCTCTTCTTCAGCAGCAATAGTAGCAGCTATAGCGGCGGCTTCGGCTTCGATAGCGGCAGCTTCAGCATCGTCCTGGCCGGGAGTCTCTTCTTCTTCTTCAGCAGCATCTTCTGGGGTAGTATGGGCCAGAGCTTGAGCGGCGGCCTCCTTTGCTGCCTGCTCTTCAGCGCGCCTTGAAACATTTTCTGTTAAAACTGTGAACCTCTGGGTATCCTTGTTTCCGAGCCTTCCTTTCCGTGCCTTCTTAGCTTCAAGAGAAGCAAGCTCTGCTTCTTCTTCTGCGGCTATGGCAGCCGCCTCAGCAGCGGCTTCGTCATCAATATCAGGAACCGGGGCATCAGGGGCATCAGGGGCATCTTCACCAGTCTCTTCAGGCTCCAGGGTTGGTTCCTCAAGCTCTTCTTCGTCAAGTAGCTCTTCCATGGCCGGGACTTCCTCAGCGGCAGCCTCAACCTCACGGGCCGCTTGTTGCTCGGCTCGTTTCACAGCATTCGAGGACAACTGCTCAAAACGCTCTGTATCCTTGCGTCCTAGTTTACCCTTCTTGGCCTTCTTGGCTGCTAAGATGGCCAGTTCTTCGTCCTCAGCGTCAGCAACAGCCGCAGCTTCGGCTTCAGCAGCCTCTCTTGCCGCTATCTCCTCAGCCTCGGCAGCGGCGGCAGCTTCGGCAGCTGCAGCTTCTTGAAGTGCTTGCTCTTCGGCTTCCTTGGCAGCTCGTTCCTCAGCAACCTGTGCTTCCCTTGCAACCTTGTTTCCCAGAAGATAGTCAAATCGATCTGTATCTTTGCGTCCCAACTTTCCTTTTCTCTGCTTTTTTGCTTCTAGGGCAGCAAGCTCTTCTTCTTCTTGGGCGATCACTGCCGCAGCCTCAAATTCAGCAGCCTCTCTCGCCACCGCTTCTTCCTCAGCAGCAGCAGTGAGCTCGGCTTCCTTAGTTGCTTGCTCTTCAGCTCTCTTGGTAGCGTTTTCGTTGAGGAGGGTGTATCGTTCCATATCCCTCTTGCCTAGCTTGCCTTTCCTTGCCTTCTTCGCCTCTAGGTCTGCAATTTCTTGTTCCTCATCAGCAACTAAGGCCATAGCCTCTGCTGCTGCAGCATCTTCTTCAGAGGATGACTCTTTTTTAGCAACTGGTAGCTCCGGGGCATTTTCGAAGAGTAAATCCTCGATATCAGCTGGGGGATCATTGATATCTACAGACTCGGCAATAGTGGCTTCTTGGTCTTCCTCAGCGGCTTCTTCGTGTGCTGCATGTCTGGCTCTTTGGGTGGCGTTCTCAGTGAGGAAAGCAAATCTATCGCTGTCCTTTTTGCCAAGTTTGCCCTTCCTGTCTCTCTTAGCAATTAAGGCAGCTAGCTCTTCTTCCTCTTCAGCAGCAATAGTAGCAGCAATGGCAGCTGCTTCTGCCTCAATAGCGGCCGCCTCGGCTGCTTCAGCATCGGCTTCAGCATCGGCTTCGGCATCTTCTTCAGCATCAGCAGGAATTTCAGTAGCGAGATCTTCAACTTCAAGAACAGGCTCTTTCATTACTTCTGACCCAGCAGCCTTCTCGGCTCGTTGAGTTGCATTCTCGGTCAGGATAGCAAATCGGTCACTATCCTTTTTCCCAAGTTTGCCCTTCCTATTCTTCTTTGCAGTTAGGGCAGCTAATTCATCCTCCTCTTCGGCAATAAGGAGAGCTTCAGCCTCTGCTGCCTCTCTGGCTGCAGCCTCTTCAACAGCAGCTGCCTCAGCTGCAGCTGCCTGCTCTGCTTCAGCTTGTGCGGCTGCTTCAGCCTCAGCAGCTGCTTGGGCAGCTGCCTTTTCTTGAGCCGCTTTCTCTGCCCGTGCCGTGCTATTGGCAGTAAGGAGGTTATAGCGGTCGGTATCTTTCTTCCCAAGCTTGCCCTTTCGCTCTTTCTTGGCAATCAAAGCAGCAAGTTCGGATTCTTCATCGGCAATAGCAGCGGCTTCTGCTTCAGCAGATGCAATAGCATCAGGGTCAATAGCCTCAGCAGAAACCTCATCTGTGGCTGGTTCAAGAGAAGCTTCGTTAACTCCTGTCTCAGGCTCCGGTGCAGGATCTTCAAGTTGCTGGGCAGTCAGGGCTATTTCTTGAGCTCGCCTTTCTGCATTTTCCGATAAAGCAGCAAATCGATCAGCGTCTTTCTTTGCAAGCTTACCCTTCTTAGCCTTCTTAGTAGTTAATGCAGCCAGCTCGGCTTGTTCCTCAGCAACAGCTGCATCCTCTGCTTCGCGAGCTGCTGCTGCGACTTCTGCTTCCTTTGCAGCCTGCTCCTCAGCCTCCGCTGCTGCTGCAGCGGCGGCAGCTACTTCTTCTGCTTCCTTGGTGGCTTGTCGCTGTGCAGCATTTTCTGTGAGAATATTAAAACGGTCGGCATCCTTCTTGACAAGCTTCCCTCTTTTAGCTTTCTTAGCGGCAAGAGTGGCAAGCTCTGCCTCTTCATCAGCAATCAGGATAGCTTCAGCTTCGCTTGCTGTTATAGCTTCCGCTTCTGCTGCGGCTGTAGCTGCTTCTTCTGCTTCTGCTGCAGCTGCTACAGCTTCCTCGGCTTCTTTTGCAGCCTGCTCCTCAGCCTCCGCTGCTGCTGCTGCTGCTGCTGCTGCGGCAGCTACTTCTTCTGCTTCTTTTGCAGCTAGTCGTTGCGCAGCATTTTCTGTGAGGATGTTGTACCGCTCTGTATCCTTTTTCCCAAGCTTGCCTTTCCTTGTCTTCTTTGCGTCTAGACTGGCTAACTCTGCTTCTTCCTCTGCTATAATAGCTGCGTCAGGAGCTGTGACAGGATCAGAATCAGCAGATGCTGCGTCTATGTCCACAAGCGGTTGCTCAGGCTCTGGTTCGGGTTGAGCTTCTGCCACCACCTCCGTATTACCATGGGTGGTTTCTTCAAGCTCTCCTTGAGCTTCGACAGCAGCAATCGTTTCAGCTTGCTTAGCTGCTCGTTCGGCTCGTTCGGCAGCCCTTTGAGTGAGGACTTCAAAGCGCTCCACATCCTTCTTCTTAATCAGGTTACCGCCACGCTTGATCTTCTTAGCGGTGAGATCTGCAAGTTCCTTCTCTTCTTCAGCAGCAATTGCAGCCTCCGCTTCACGGGCAGCGGTCGCTTCAGCCTCACGTGCTGCCAGCGCATCTGCTTCGCGGGCTGCAGTCTCCTCGGCTTCCTTAGCAGCCTGCGCCGCGGCTGCTTCCTCGGCCTCTTTGGTAGATTTTTCCTGAGCTCGCTTTACTGAGTTGCCAACCAAGGTCATTAGTCGAGCCGTTTCGTTCTTTGTTAGCTTGACCTTCTTGGCTTTCTTGGCTTTCAGCACCGCCATTTCCTCCTCTTCCTTGGCAGCTACTTCAGCTTCAGCTTCTGCGGCGGCTTGGACTGCAGCTTCGGCGTCTGCAGCAGCTTGGGCAGCGGCTTCGGCTTCGGCTGCTGCCGCCGCCGCCAGTTCTTCTGCTTCTCTCGCTGCTTGTTCCTCGGCTCGTTTCGCTGCATTATTGATCAAGAGATTCAGCCGTTCCTGCTCTTTTTTGACAAGTTTTCCTTTCTTCGCCTTCTTCGACTGCAGGCTCTCCATTTCCGCCTCTTCCTGCGCAATTTCAGTGGCAAGTGCAGTGTCAGCTTCTGCAGCTGCTTCCGTGGCAAAGCCATCCTGGTCTGTCTCTTGAGCAAGAAATTCATTAAGACGTACCGCCGGGGCAACTGGAGCAGCGGAAATAGCTTCAGCTTCCCGGGCTGCTTGAGCTTCGGCCCTCCTTGAGATATTCCCTTCGAGCAGAGTAAGGCGTTCTTGATCCTTTTTCAGCAACTTTCCATTGCGTTTCTGCTTCTTCGCCAACAGTGTCGCAAGCTCCTCGTTCTCCTTTGCGGCTTCAGCGTCTTCCGCGGCCTGTAAAGCGGCAGCTTCGGCGTCAGCTGCCGCTTGTGCGTCAGCGGCCACTTGTGCAGCTTCAGCGGCCGCTGCCATCTCAGCATCGCGAGTAGCTCGAGCTTCAGCTCTTCGGTTGGCATTCCCTTCGAGGAGAGCAAGACGTTCTCGATCCGACTTAAGGAGCCGTCCTCCTCTTTTAGATTTCTTGTCCAAGAGACTGGCAATCTCTTCGTCTTCACGAGCTGCCTCGGCTTCCTCAGCTTCGCGGGCGGCTTGCTCTTCAGCTTCTCTGGCGGCTTGCTCTGGGTCTCCTATTAATCCATCCGTTCAGCTAGTTCTACAAATGTTGGGGGTTGATATTGGGGGAGGGCAGTCAGACAAGGCGAGTTCTCGACGTTCTATAACTTCTCCGCCCAGGGGAATGAAATCCAACTCCAGTTGATTTTTCCATATGACATCATCTCGAGCCTTGCTTCTCAACCCTTCCTCAACATCATGATATGGCTCACCAGTAGCATCGATAAGAAACTCATGTGCATTAGGCTTCTTGTTGTCTATTGAGCCCCAAAAAGCATCGTTAGGATCATCGGCGCCGGAAGTTTTGAAATCGAACGGGTCAACGGCCGGTTTCTTGGGCTTCTTGCCAAAACCCCAACAATCGAGGAGGTCGTCGTTGCCAACAGCCTCGACGGGATCGGGGGCGGGAGAAGGAATATCATCCTCTATTTGAATCAAGTCGCCAGCTTTCTTCTTTTTCTTACCTGTTCCCCATAGATCCCAACCGTCGTCTTCTTTCTTAGGCGGCTCTGGGATTTGATGAGCTTTAAAGAAATTTGACTCACTTGTTTCATCCTCACCTTTCTTTCCTATACCCCATGATCCCCATCCACTCGTCTCCTCTGGTGGAGGTTTTGCCTTTCCAGTGCCAAAAGTACTCCAAAAGTCGTCACCATCCTTGTCTTCAAACGAAGGGGGGTCAGGTGCAGGTGCAGGTATTGAGTCTTGAGCCCCCCAAAGTGAACTTTGTGAATGTTCCTTTTTCCCAGACCAGCCACCCCACTGATCTTCCATTGAAGGGGGTTCAGGTGCAGCTGCCAAAGCAACTTCTTCCATGATTCCCTTCTTCTTGGCCCGGTCTTTTTTGGATATTCCCCAAGTATCCCAAATATCCTTCTTTCCGTTCGGAGGTGCAGTATCAGAATCGAGGGCAAGTTCTTCCAGGATGCCACCAGCCTTGCCCTTCTTTTTTTGACCACTCCAACCCCAAGGATCGTCACCATCTTTTGGTCCCTCGTCGGGTTCAGCGCCCCAGAGCGTGGAAGCATTCTTTTTCTCTTTCTTGGCACCAAAGCCCCAACCATCGTCATCTTCTTCAATTCCTCCTATTTTATCTTTAGGCTTGTCCCAGGGGTTCTCTTCGACCTTGCCTTCTTGTGGTGGCGGCGGCGGTGCCGGTGCTGGAGCCTGTGCTGTTTCACTTTTCCCTCCTCCGCCCCAGCCCCATCCTCCTCCACCAAAGCCCAATTTCGCGCCCCATGAACTGGAGATGCCCTTGGATTCTGGTGGGCTCAAACCAAGATCCAGTTTATTATCCCCAAGATTGATATTCTCGAATGTTGTGGGAGGCTTTGGGGGCGAGTTGCTGTTGCCATCACCATTTCCGTCGCCGGCGCCGCCTGCAGCGTCTCCTCCACTGGCTCCTCCATCTCCTCCGGCATTGTCATCCTTTTGACCGTCGTCTGCTGGTGGAGCCGCAGGCGGCGGCGGTGGTGGAGGAGGAGCAGAAGGTGTTTTTGTTTTCTTCTTCTTTGCCGCTTCGTAGAAACCTTGATGCGAGTTGAAGTCGATGAGGATGTCGGAACTAGGGTCGCTAAGCAGCGCATCATTCGATCGGCGCCGTTCTTTCTGTGCATCTGATGGTGGTTGAGGGGATGGATTGAGCCATGCTGGGGTTCGCATATGGGCATAACGGCTGGTCCCATTCAGGGGCATTGTGGTGTCCGTAGGATCAGAAGAGTCGCAAGATCGAGGGAGGCGACAATACCATCGTGGAGAAAGATCTGGTATAATTAGCGGCCTGTCGGCCACTTTGCGATGTGATGTTGAAGCAGAGACCTGGACAATTTGTATGACGTTAGACAAGACAGACTTTCAAACGTGTTCCAATTCCGGAACTGGATCGCATGACAAGACAGGAATGGGTGGCGGTGGATTCCCCTCAGGAGAGTTCGGGCCGCTGATCGAGGGGTAGGCCGTTGAGCGCCACCCATTTAAAGTCTGTTAAGCTTTTGCATGGGAACATGATTCAAGCAAAAGAGCGACAAGATTTAAATTGCAACTACGCAAGCTGAGCAGAAAATGAAACGAACATACATTTTTATGTAATCTGTGAACGACCCAGGCCCGGGCAATGAGACTCAGTCGGTGACGCAAGGAGCGATCAACCGGCGCACTTGACAAACACTGAAAAACCGGCAGGCCATCGCTTCTTGTCCAATTGTCTGTGAATGCCAGAACATCGACCGCGGCCATTGTGAAGAATGGAGCTTGTGCGAAGACTGAGCGACGTCACACACATGGAAGCTATAAGTATGAACAAGGATAGAATGGCGACGAGGTATCGACAACTGAGCCAAGTCGCCAGAACAAAGGACAGTATGGGATGTCAAGTTTGTGACCGGGCAAATTCGTAGTTTCGTGTAAGTTTTCGTGTAAGTCGTAATCGATTGCAATATCAAGCAGCAGAGTTGCGGGGTCTGGCTCTGTTCGAGGCTGTCGAAAGCGACGCCGTGGCCCGGATGTATTGTCAGGGTCGAGAATAGGTAGGTAATCGTTAGATGATGCTGCACTAGTGATGGGAGAAAAGAGTCGGATCGTCGAAGGAAACAAAATCGAGTCGTTTGTCAAGGCGAAGGAACGTGATGAGCGTGCGTACTGATTGACTGCCGAGTTAATTGACAAAACAAACCCCGGGCGACCAACTGTCACTTTTCACCAGCCACCCCTAGTCGTCGGATCGTCGTCTGGCCTGGACTACTTTTTTCGGGGGTCTTGCGTTGCGCGCTGTGTAAATAAATGAGCTTCCACGCAAGATGACGCTCGACCACTCGAGGCAAGGCCAAATAACGAGTAGGTCTCCTCAAGATAGGTGAGGTTGGGAGAAAGGATTTGATGTAAAAGGAGGGAGACTGAGGAAGAGGAGGGGGAAGAATTCACGGTGACGAGTAGCAAATGGTTTGCAGAAAGTGCATGGCAAGAGAAGCAAGGGAAGAAGGAAAGGACGAATCGGTAAAAGGTCCCATACAATACTTTTGGGCGCTTCAGGCCAAGACAAATTGGTTGAGCTAAGAGCCAATGACGCCAGTTCTGGCTGTTCAGATCGTCGGCAGGCGAATTGCTCAGATGTTGCACTTGTCAAGGCCACTGTTTAATGGGTAGAATCAATGCAAAGGACAGGGTTCAGTGTCCAATGTTGGTGTGCAGCCAGGCGAAAAAGGCGGGCAAACGCGGGAACAGGACAGGGAAATCAACGCGACAGTTACAGCAAGAGATGTTCATAATTAAAGCCCCGTCGGTGCTCAAAGCAGGGGACGTGCCCTCTAGGTTCTTTCGTCCTTACCTTTAGTACTACCTACCCTACCTAACTCGAGAGTGCGCAACAAACACGCCGCCACCATGCAAAGGCTGCGGGACCTAGAAGGAATTTGAGGATAACTAATGAGAACTTTGATTGCATTCGTTATCTAGATGCGATGAGCTAAGAGACAGATCCCGGTTCTTCTCAGCTCACACGGCAGTACATATATATCCGCTACCTATAGGCAGGTAGGTATTCAGCATACTGCGACTACATCAAAACACTCAAATGCTTTTTTATCTCTGAACAGGACTTACACTCACTACCTATATGTAGGTACCTTCCTACGTGCGAAGCTACTCCTTACTACCCCATCAATATTGTTGGCCGCACGTCACCGTCACAATCACCAGACCAGCAACCCCATCACAACTTGCACCCCCCGTTCTCAAGCCCAACACACCCTCTCATTGCTCCCTTCAGAGCCCGTATCACTTGAAGGAAGAAAAATTTACAGTCTTGACTCAATCCCAATCAATTATCCTATCAAGCACGCCAGCCCGCACATTCATCCCCCCCCAAAAAAGACAGCCTCTATACCTAACCATCACAGGTAAACATTATCTGTCGTCGTGTTATTGCACATGCACGTACGATCCACTCGATCCAGGTCAACCTACCACAGATGAGTCCGTTGATGCTGATGCAGGTCTGCAAGGTCAGGCCGCAGCGCAACGTGCTGTTGGATCAGATCCTTTGAGGTACTTGTTGGCCAAGCCCAATGACTTGCCAGTCTCTCATCGACCCAGCCACCCGAATCTCACATGTGCATTCCACTAATGAGAGAAGCAGGAAATTTGAAAAGAAGGGTCGTAATGCCTGGAACCCATCCATTACAGTGCACATTGTGTGCCCAACATTGGATCGGATGCATCTGGCGACTAGGATCTGACTTCCATCTTGTCACCAGTCATAAAACTCTCACAAGAAAACTGTAGCTAGTTCTCTGACTGGCTTTTCCAGCAAGACTGATTGGTCCCGTAGAACGAGAGGATTACTCATGTGCTGCAATGTACTACTCCAAAGACACCGTTAATCCACCTGGACTATCTACCAGATGGTGCTACACCGTACAGCGCAGCTAATGGGACGGCGATGGTTTTGTCGTTCGATCTTCGTGACATCACGCGGGCTTGGTTGTTCCACGGGGCCAATACGGACATACATGTTGAGACATGTGTGACATTTACCGTTACTTCGAGGGGCACACGATATATCTCAGCAGCACAAACCTGAGTTCCTTTGGCAATCCTCTTGGGAATACAGAACGGAGCCAATTCTGTGAAGTGCATAGTGCATACACGCCTTCCCCTCCAGAAGGGCAAGATAAGGCTATCCGCTATCAGCTCCTTGAGACCGTGGTTGACGTCCCGTCCCCTTCCCGTTCCCCGCGTCTTCCAGGTTCATTGTGCTTAACATCGGGCAAGTTTTGTGGGACTCGCTGTTACTTTTGGTTCACACGACGACCGCTAATCAGCCAATACTTCTGAACTTCTGAAGATCACCAGGCTGTCCTCGCTTTGCACTAGTTAAGGCAATTGGTGGAGCGGGTATGGAAAGGCCCGAGGGGGCTAGATTGAGAAGACGCTGGCAACTTCATAATTACAATGGAAGGAAATGGCAGTATCAATTACATGGTCCAGTAGCCACTTGGACGGCTTGCCTTGAGGTATTTTCTACAGCTTTTCCAGGCCACCCGTCACTAAACAGTCACACACGAAAACATCCAGCGACTGGAGTCCTGCTTTGACATGATACATGCAGCACAGCTACAGTACAGACTAACTTACACTACGGAGTACACACATATGGAACTATCCGCGGGTTGGGGTCTTGGGACGACTCGACAAAATCCACAAACGCCACAGGATGCTGCAGAGTCCCTGCGCTTCCTGCAAGACGTTAGCCCTGTGCATTCATCCTAGACCAAAGCTTGGCTCGAATAGGTATCGCCAAACCTTCACCGCCTCCAGCACATGTACATGCCTACGCCGTGTTATCCAAAATTTGTTGAAAAAGCCCGCATTTTTAATGTCGCCTGGTCCATATGAACTGGGATCGACGACAATAACAACGACGTGGCCGTCTTGGATATGGACGAAGAATATGGACAGTGGAGCTGGACCGTTGAAGTGAGTTGATGGGGCTGCTTTCATGCACCATCTGTTAACGTATCAGGTCATTCCTACTCAAGGATGGATGTCTCCGCACAAAAACAGGCGAAACAAGAAGAACTATTTGCTCTCCTGCCTGACACCTTTTAAGCGGTCAGACCTGATAGTTGCCGCGATTGTCAAGGGGGAAACAAGAATGAGTTGGCAAATATTTACAACTGAGGAAGTTGGGGATTGGGAGCCGCGGTGCAGGCAAGATGGATACTGGCTCCATCGTTCTGAATTTGCCAGAGTTGCCCAATCGAAATCTCTACTTAGCTAGGATTGGCGATAATTAAGAGCTGGCGTTAGCGACTGAGCCACGAGTTGCTATCTTCAAGGGGTCCACCCCAGCATCAATCGGTAGCAGCTAGAGACGATGCAATGCTGTGCATTCACTAATTGATGCTACCATGTGAGTGTGATGATATTCATAGAACACTCGGTTCCTGACTATGATATGTAGCTGCAGGCAAATTCCCCAAGCCGAGAAAGGTAACTAACACAGGGTCTCAGCTTAACCTAACCTAACCTAACCTAACCCAGGAGATTGTCTTGAACTTGTGTACAGTTCTCACTGCCTACCTAGACTGCCTAGACTACCTAGCAATACCCAGTGTCGGTAACAATGCGAGTTTATTCTTAGACCAGAGCTGCAAGGCGGGCCGCAATTCCATCGTTCTATCTCCCGTGCCGACACAGGTACAGACAGGAAGCCCTCATACAATTCACCTGACTGCATTCCGGCTTCTGGTGGGAACTCATGGCACCAAGCTAAAACATGAGCACAGGGAGTCGACGCCTACAACTAACGCAGTCTCAAGGTGTCAAACAAATTCCACAATACAATATACATATGCTGCACAGTCGGCCAACTGCCGGATCGGGCCGTGAGTAGGACTTGGTGTCGGGCTCGGAATGATGAATTGATGCCGGCCGTTGATGGTTTTGGTCTGGACTGTACCCGTAGCACATGATTTTTCTAGACCAAAGATTGACAGGGCGAGATCCATTATGGTTCGTTCGTCTCCGGCAAGTCAGCCGTCGTCCGTGCTTCGGGAATTGGCTGCAACGCAACGCAGCATCTAATCTTGGGCCTCGCCCGTTCAGTTTAAGGATATCGCCATGCCCATCAGTCCGTCTAGGGTGCTCCTCTTCGGGGGGAGCCTAGGGAGCCTCTCTCGTTCTGGCAGGTGGCTGGCGGATCACGGAAGAAAAGGAGCCGGACAATCGCCTCAACATGGGGATAAGCTGGAGCTGACCTTGGAGAGCAAAGGTAGCTAATTCCAAATACCCAAGGTTATTAGGAGAAAGAGTGTCTGTCACTTGAGGTGCCGAGGTGGATGGGTACACCAACCTTAACTCAATTAGCTACTAGGTAAGGTAGGTATCTACTAACTATGGTTAATTAGACATTTCTTCGTACATTAGTAGGGTCTGGAGATATCACACAACCTTTCACACATGTCAAAGCGGCAGTTCAGTCGCCTATCATCAACGGGACACTCGGAATTTAAAAAGTACATACATAGTAATTAACCTATGTTAGTTTCTCCCTTTCACATTGGCATTGCAAGTCATTACTAACAATCTTCACTCAACCTGGTCCCTCGTTTCACTCTTTCCATCTCCATACATCCATACCTATCTCCCCTCTTTGCTCCTTACCTACACTCACTGTAACAAGGGACCCCTCAGCCACCATATGCCCCCGCCTTAGGTACTACTATCCATAGGTACCTTGGGTACTAAGTAGTTCTCTGGAGGTACTGTGCAGGTACGGTATATTTTTAACTCTTCATCAGCCACCATTTGGTTTAGCCTCAACTCAACTCACCTCACCTCGAACATAACCTACTTTGCTTAACTCATTCAACGCAACACAACGCAATATCACCTCCTTGCTCTTTCCTTGTTCCCCTGGTATCGCTTTCGCACGAACCCAGGAGAAAAGCAGAAGGGAGCGAGGTGCAAGGGCTGTGAGACTTCAAAACTGACTGCTCCTGTTCTGATACGCGCGGGCGCCTATTCGCTTCTCAACTCCCGCCCTGCATGGAAGCGCAGTGCATGCCATCCATCCATACCTCTCATATCTGCTCTGCTCCGCTTGTCGTCGGATTGAATCTCCGTTTCGTGTGCACAAAGAGCCAAGAGAGGACATGAAGCAGTCTCTGTGAGGCGCAGGCTTTGACTTATTCTCCACTGCTCTTGTCCTTTGGATATCACAAACTTGTCGTCGACTAACACGTCCTGGTCTTGCATATCGCAGTGGATAAGTTGGTTGGGCCTTTGCGAAGAACGCCCTTTTTTTTTCTATGGCTGTCTCTTCTTTCGCTGCTGTTCCTATCAGTTCGCCTTGATTTACTCTTCAACTATCTCGAATGAGATAATAATCGTCAATCACCATTGGCATTCACCATGTACGCATTGGCCAGTCTTACAAGGATAAACATCTCGATATCATTGCCTCCAACATTACCAACTTCCGCAGACTCTAGTCGCCAGTGTTGGCCAAGTTTCGTCTAACACGACAACCACGATCAACTGCTCTCTCTGCACTCTATTATCCATCTTCTTTACACCCGTTCGCACATACTTGATATCCAACTATACCGCCAGAAGCCCTCCAAATCCACATAAAATGCGCTCGACACAACTTCTCTCGATATCTGTACCCATACCGGGCACTCTTCCTCCCAGCGCCGTGGTAGCAGCTCTACAAGCCGTAGACCCATTTGTCGCCCACCACCGGACAGTGACGAGCTTGGAAGAAGTCCAGGCTGATCCGGCAGACACAGCTGACGACCCTTTCTTCGGAGCCTTCGATGAATCCTTTCGCGCTTTTCAGATGCAAGAGCTCGTCAATCTCGCTCCCGGTCTTGGCAAAACCATTTCTTACAAGGCCATCTTTCAGGTAATACCTGATGGCCTTCGCTCTCGTGCGAAAGCACCTGTGGGCGTCGTCGTTCGAGCCCAGTGGACGGTGCGCCAACAACAGCACGGCCGATCGCCCTCGGGTCCTATATCACCGGCGGGATCTGATAGCACCGCCTCAGGTAGCACGGCGACTGCCGAAGGGGACGAGTTCGAGCTACACGAGCAGGTTCTCCTCGAATGCAATTCTCTCCTGATGCCATTCATTACCGAGTCTTGTGTGGCTGTACATCGTGAAATTTGTGAGAATTTCATGGCGAAGACATTCAAGGATTACTTTGGAACCTCGCCGATGTATTGATCATATGTGTATGTGCTATCCGGTTATGACTCTAATTCAAGAAACGAAGTGGTCATCAACCCATGGATGTGTTCAAAAAGCGGGAGAAGGAAAGTCAGTGCGGTGTTTTTGCAAGGCGTTGGTATTATCATTTGTGGGTTTGACTTGGCATTTTATAATCTCTTACTGCAAATTCTACCAGATATCCAAGGAAGGGAGGGCTTCCATAAGTCAAGGCTGGCCGAAAGTAACAAAGGCGGGCCAGTCAATGTGTGGTGTAACCTAGATGCCGATATCGTTCATACTGTCTGCTTGGTTGACCAAGTACCATTTCTGTTTTCAAGTAATCAAAATCTTTACTATACTTGTTGATATTATCTAATCAACTGCCAGAATGTATGGCCACATGCAGATCGAGATCTAAAAGCAAGCTTCGGCTACCTATGAAACCTAGTCAAACTGAACGAGAAATAACAAATAAAACACGTCATATTGAATGAACAGAACAGAACAGAGTAGATTTGGTATCTATGCGCATATCGTCTATACCCAAGCACTCCCTCCCCCCCGAAAATAAGAAATAAAAATGATCAAAATCACGCCGGATCCAATTGTATGTATAACCGTTGTGATGCAGTCACGGCGCATCTAGCATATCCAAAAAACGTCTGTGAAGTAGAAACCAAAGATTCCCCGAGGGTTAGAGAATGGAGCAAGGCGCAAGGTAAAGAACGCCGATAACTGAAAAAGAAAAAGAAAAAGGAAAACAAAGAAAAAAGGTGGCATTGATCGCGTCAACAATGTATGCATGTTCGTATGGCGAGTGATCCCATTTTTACCGGCCCCCGAAGTCGCTCGCATATCCCATTTCACCAAAGCCTTGGCCCATCCCACCCTCACCAAACCCCGTGCCTGGGCCACTCACATACCCACCGTCTTCGTTTTCGTCGTAGTCGCTGGCATCAAACGATGAACGGCCACTAACCTCGTCGTCCATGCCAGCGTTCACATCAGGCGTAGACCAGTTCAGCTGAGCTAATGCGGGATACTGGGCCAAGAGAGCCGCTGGAAGCATTGGGTTGCCAGAAGGATCCATAGGATAAATAGGGCCATCCAGTGGCATAGTGGATGCAACGGCCATGCTCTGCGCCATGTTCTGCTGCATCCGTTGTTGTTGCCAGAGTCGCTGTCGTTCCATCATTTCTTCATCCAATAGTGGCTTGATGCAGATGCGGCCAGCTTCGGACCTAAAATGACGGCCTAGAGCATCGGCACGGGCAAATCTTCTCCCACATCCCCATTGACCTCCAACCTTGAGATCGCCCTTGCATACAAACTTCTTTTCTCCGGAGTGGAGACTCTCGTGTCTCTTGCGATCGTGTTGCCTAGCAAATGCCTTTCCGCACACTGTACACACAAAAGGACGCTCGTCTGTGTGCGTTCTCAGATGTGAACGCAAGTTATAAGCACGTGTAAATCGTTTGGGACACAATGTGCACTGGAAAGTGGCAGGGTGTTTCTGAACCCGCTTGGCAGCCCCGCTGTCCTGGTTGTTCTGGTACTCAGGATCGGCCAGTCTGAGAGCGATAACGTTGTTGGGTACAGCCGATGTGGACTGTCTTCTCCTGGACGGTGAAGTCCCTCCTTGCCTGTCCAGCGGAGATAAAGATCTGGAGTCTGCCCTTGCTGCTAAGTCGGCGCCTAGGGAAGGCGAGATGATGGAATTTCCTTGGCGACCTAGCAGACCGCCTCCAGGATGGAAAGGGTCTGTCACTGCACGTGGACGGGATCGGGGGCGACCTAAGATTTGTGAGCTAGTTTCAAGAGCAATGGCTTCGGTCTCAAACATACCTCTGTCTGGAGGGGTCAGAGAATCCTGATCCATACGAGACTTGGGAGTGTCAAAAGCACCTTGTTTAGCGTTTGTAGGCGCAAAGTCAATGTTGATCGCAGGAGGGGCCATCGACGACAAATCAGCGCCCGAAGGCTGGAGGGACGGGAAGGCCTCGACGGGCGCTGAAACGTCAGGATAGGTAGAGGGAACTCCATATGGATTGTGAGGACCTGCCAAACCAAAACTGTTTTGATTGAGCTGGTTCAAGTCGGGCATCTGCTGAGGAACAATGCGGGGGCTGATTGCGGGACTATGGGAAGGACTACGGCCCTGGTGTCCAGGACTACCACCGACTTGAGGGTCGGAGAGACTAAAGTTACCCATACTCAAAACCTCTTGATACAGACTGCCATCAGAAGGATGGTGTGCGGGTGAGTGCCCACCAATATCAGTCTCAAAGGACTCAGCACTGACAAGGTTCGGTGATGGGGCCACGGACGAGACGTCTGAGTACTCAGAGGGTGTGCGACGGTGGCGTTGGAATTGAGGCTGATTCCAATCAGCTATCTGGTTTGGGAGCAAAGCATCTGCTGGGCCGAGTGAAGTATGTCGCGAATGGTTGGGTGGTGAAGAGAACTGGTGCTGGTTAAAGGCGGGCGACTGGTGAGTAGAACCAGGTTGTTGAGCATCGTGCTGGAATAGATGAGGAGGGGTGGGCGAGTGATGCCCTTGCGACGCCATGGTATTCATGTCGTTAGGGTTGAGTGTAGACTGGTCAAACAAGGGGGCGTTGAACTGGTCGCCCTGGCCACTAGTATTCGGAAAGAGAGAGAAGTCGTTATCGTTAAGGTTCGGCGACAAGTAAGCTGCCTGAGCCTGGTTGTTGAAGGGTAGCGAGGTGTTGGAGCTGGCAGGCTGCTGTCCGAATGAGGTGGTGTTATTGGGGTCGAGAATAGCGGGGTCGGACAAGTTGGCTTGAGCGAAGGAGTTGCTCTGTTGATGCGCAGGAGGAAGGAAAGAAGGCGATTGCTGAGGACTGAGAAAACCTGAACTGTTGAAGGCCTCGTAAGATTGCTGAGCGGACTGGTCGAGAGTGAGACCAAGGCCAATGGATGGATCGTTATGCTGATAGGGCGCCGGCGACGGGGAATGAGAATGGTTTATATGAGGCTGTTGATGGCCAGTCGAAGGGGACCGGCCTCGTTGAGCTTGTTGATCCATGATGTTTCCGAGTTTAGAAGCAGAAGAAGTACTGTAGAATAGTGTAGACAAGGCAGACTCTGGAGTCAGCCTTCAGGCACCGTGGCGATGCCGGGGGCTGTGCGCTTTCAAGGTGATGCAATGGGCGGGGGGACTGTCCTATCACGGCGGCCGACGCGTGGAAGGGGTTGCGAAACGCGCAGTTTGGGCGGGAACGGTGTAGTTCGAAGTAGATGAATGCGACGTGTGGAAAATCGGTATTGTTTTGTGTATGATATGGAGGATGGGGAATGCTGCTGTAGTCCGTTGGATGCGCAGACGAAGATGATGGTGGAGATGAGTTGCTTGGGTTGCGGCGGGTGGGTTGCGGTGCGGCGGGCGGGTATTGTCCTGTAATCCGTACCACAGCTGGTCTAGGGGCCAGGACTCTGACAATTTATGTTACTTTGGAAGATTCCGCTCTTGGAGCTTCTATTAGGACGAGAAGAGAGAGACAGGCCGAAAGCCGGGCGGCTAGCGCTGATCCGTAGGTACCTTAGTAGTTTTGATTGTAAGAGACGGGAGTTGGGTGGTCCCTTCATCCAGAATACCAATTAAAAGGCCAACCACACGGAACGGGATTTGGTGCGTCAGATCTGATGTACTACAGTACAGTACAGGCGTCTAAACGCACAAGATTCTCTCTCCCCGTGGGATACGTTTATGTAGGGCCAGAATGGTGTGGAGGGCTGTGCAGAGACACGTCGAACGAATGGGAAATAGAGCTAGTGTGCCCTGGGCATGAGGTCAGGTACATACAGCTGTTTGCATAAGGTTAGCAAGTAGGTATGGATGATAGGTAAGGGAGTAGTTTTGGGTTGGCAAGTACCGAGGTTTGCTAATTTTAACAGTATTTGGGATCGTTTGACCTGTTGCAAGCGAGGCAGACTTGCTCTCCAGGTCGATGACAATCGTGATATCGCTAAGTCAACATGGAATAGTCGGTATTAATAGTGTTGTGTTAATTATTCACTGGGATGAGATAAGTTTCAAGAGATGCGAAGGGGACAAGGCAGGAAATGAGCTCAATGCGGGTTACCTTCAATGATAAGTCCGAGATAACATCAAAAAGATCGGTATCACTTGCGTTGTAACGGTTCTTACTCATTCAGGCAGACATGTGGTTTGAGTTGTTTATTATTTTATTTTAAAATATATATAAATATAAACGTTCATCGCAAGTTCATTGGGCCTCCATTGAATCAATTCGTAAATATTAAATAGGCACACACTGCTTACCATGTGTCCTGCTCATCTGGATTGGCGGTTCTCGGTAAATGAGCATCAGCACTAGGTACGCATTTTAAGATCCAACTTACCACGTCAAGTAGTGGCACTTTTGCGTGTGCAAAATTGGAGTGTCATCTGGGATTCTAGTACTCTGGTCTTTGGCCGCAATCATATATCTCGTTCAGTGCGGAGTGTATTTGCATTGGATGTTTTGATATTTGCATCCGATGCCAACAAGCTACCATCCTTCCCAGACCACTGCAACGTGTATTTCCCACCATGGATATTAGTAGCGTTTTCGCTAGAGACGACCGCCGGATTTAGTGAGCCTTGCACATCTTTTGTTCACCCCTCAATATTGTCATCAGCATCCGTTACGCGGCTTGTTATCGAATCAGCAAATCGCAAGCAAGGGTTGTAAGAGAAAGCTCCGCAATCACCTCGTCGTTCATGTCACTTTATCTCATGTGCAGATTTCAGTTGCTTATAGAAGCACAGGTAACTACTGACCTAGACAGTGGGCAGTTTGAGTCATCTTTCAGTCCTATCCTGTTTTATATCATTCGTTGCGCTGCAGGCACAGGTTTCTGAGTGTAAACTGCGTCTTGCCTGGTAAGGGAATACCCATACATAATTTGATGGCCATATCACAATAATATTCTGCTAGCCGCAAAGAGCACATAACTCGATCGTACGAGCTTTTAATAGACCATCCTCTGAGCCGTCCCTGGATCGTCATCCACCATGCAAGGTCTGCACTGCCTCTCGAAGAAGTGATGCTTCTAGCGTGCCTCCAGGCATGTACCTGAGAAAAAGTCGGCCAGACAGAATATTACTCGGACCTCTAAAATCTACACGTTGGTAAACGTAACCGGGTGGAGAAGAAACCAACACAATTGATTCGCGTTGGTGATATGATTGCATGCTTTACTTGATGTTTCACCATCCTATTCATGCAAATACTGTCCGAAACAAATATTCATGCCATGACAGAATGCGTATATCCCACTTACACCGCCCCCAGCCTTACACGCGGCCCACGATCCGACCCCACAATCGAAGGCTGTGCTCTCTTTTCATCCTCGCGTCAGAGGCAGAGAGGATGGTTTGCGTGCTGACGGGAGCAATTCGGTAAGCATTGATACAGTCGTGACATCAGTTTCAGCTTATCACGCAGACCCCTGCCATGCTCGGTGACAGCCGACTCTTCCTTTGCGTTTGAGGATCCTCGCAAGGCAGATTTCGAGTTTTTGCTGACGCGGTCCGGACCGGAGAAAAAGAAGCTTATTAACTAATGTACCTTACCTTACCTAACCTTGCACTAAAAATAAACGCGAACTAGTTCCCACCTTGCCCGAAAAGGCAGGAAGCTCGACATGCGAAATTGAGGTGAAAGTTACTGAAAGTGATGTAGATATTCCTGAGGTTGTTCTTACGTAGGTATTCCCAGGCCCCTACTAAGGATGCGGAGGCGTATACGAGTTTTTCAACCGAGTTGTTGTTGCGCGTGTATACCGTTTGTGAGTAAGTATTGTTTTCAAGACCATTCTGGCGGCACGAACTTCACATGCAGTAGAGGGCTTATGGTTGAAGTAATCGAACCGTCGTACCACTGGAATATGGTTTTCTTCTTATTATTCCTCTTTTACCCGACTAAAACATTGCTTCTATGATCTTCAAGAGTAGGGATTCCATAACATAACGCCATCAGATGCAGATTCGTGGTTGAATAACCAAGCAAACTCCTCCCAAGTTACTCCTGTTTCCCAGTGGTATCATGTGCAAACAAGCAAGAACTGCGATACTCGATTCAAGAATTTCCGGTCATTTCGAGCAAATGAGACAAGATAATCCGTACGAGCTCGTCCTATGCCACGAGGATTTGTTCGGCTAATGTTTGTGATCGCTTTGTGACAACCCTAGATGACTTCAACGCGGTCGTAGCCGGTTGGCTTCAGTGCGGGCTTAGGCGGCTCACGATCTTTGTATTCGCTGACGAATGGGTTTGGATCCTCGGTTTGGTTGAGGTTACCAAGTGTGTGATTGACCCCTCGGTGAGTTGCCTCATCAGCCCTGATGTAGAGGATCAAGTCCTTCATTGTACGGTGCTCTTTTGGCATCTTCCAGTACTAGAGACGTATCAATATTGAATAGTTCGTCATACAGGTATCGATAAGTACTCACCTGGACAGCAATGTCAGGTATCTGGAACTTGGGGTCACTCCACTTGGGTAAGTTGCCATCTTCAATCTCCTTGATACAACGAGTATAGGTGTGAACAGCCTCTTCTTCAAGGTAACCGACAAACCTGTGGACAATCTTGGGCGAGATCAGATAGGATACAAATAGGCTGTTGAAGAAGACGCCCTGAGCACCGATGATCATCATCTTCATGAACCAACCAGGCTCACACATCTTCATAAACGTCAAAAGATGCATTCGTTCGTTGTAGCTCTCCTCGAGGAGTGTTTCGATCCAGCCATTATCTCGCTTCATGCGTCGAAGGCTGCCGAGATGGCGCAACATGCCCCCAACCATGCCGGGAACTCCCGCCACGCTCTCGAGGAAGATGAATCGAATCAACTTTGTCTTTGTCAGTCTAATCTTTCGTAATATGTTGCACATCTGGGTTGCAAGCTTACCCATTGAGCCTCGGTGAGTGGCTTCTGAGCCTCGATGGCTGTAGTCGGCTTGGTCTTGTCGGATTTCTGATCACGATCCATGCCTGTGGCCTTGTCCATGCAATATCTAGCAAAGCGGACAATTTTCCAGGCTGTATAGTCACCGAGTGTCTTGGGAGGTCGATGAGCGGGCTCGACAGCCAACATTTCATCATATGTGTAGCCTTCGTGTGGCCAGGCTGGCTTGGTCGTCTGGATATGTGGCGTCTCTTTGACCGGAAAGAAGTCACGAAGTTGGTGTGTTGGTGTCGATGAGAAGAGCCGATGTTGCTGGGAAGCGGCACAACCGGCTCGAAGAGCTGTAGGAGCTCTCGCCATATATGAAGAAGAAGATATGGTTCGAGCAAAGCCAAGTGCAACAGCTTTCGCTGCTTGCCGTGAGGCTTGGCTGTGCTGAATTTGGAAAGACAACATCGGGGCGAGCAAGATTTGTGGTGTCTTCGGTATATGGTATACTTTATTGCAGGTATCTGCCTCAGCTTATCACTGATGGAGCTGAATCTTTGGGTTAAATATGGTATAATGAAGGCTCGGCCTGAGGAGGTCCAAGTGAACCTTTATATATATATTTCAGAGATAAGCCTACAGAGAGGCGTGTCTGCATGTCAGACGCCAACCCAGCATACCCCAGGGGTCCAATTGAGAACGAGAAAATTCTGGTCTCCGTATCAGTAATATTTCCAAACACCGTTCTAATTCGGCGTAGAAATTGCTGACAAGAGACGTTACCAAGGAGAAGTGCACGAAGACAGACCGGGACAAGTACTCAAGGTGAGCGGCGTCTGCGGCACACCGTGGCCGCCGCTAACTAGAACCGGGGCCAACTGTCAAAGTCTAACCCAGCCAGGCCGTTCAGACGAGTACAGTACAGTACCGGTACCGAAGTCCTTGTCAATTACGATGGTTCGCAGGGGGCCCAAGCAATCGGGACAGTCGGTGGAAACGCTAGAAAGACCTTCCCGACGACTTAAATCGGGAACATGACAAAGATCCGTCATAGGTTGGTTGCGGCTCAAAAGTTTCGCTACCACGTGAGTGAGGTTCATCGGGAGGACTCGGATGTTGACTACCTACACAGCATTCGCAGCAGAGATCATGAATCTTGGCTTAGGAATCACCCGCGATCTGACATCAACCAAGAGGCTGATGGCACGTGCTATAATAAACGGTCCTATTATTTTGACTACTTTAGAAACTTGCCCGTCTAGCCCGTTAATCTAGGACATTTTTTAAACGCCGGTCTGATGCGGATACAGCAGCTGGTATCGGGATTTCTCGATACCAACACTACATACACAGTTGACATTATCGCTTGGTCATTCAAACTCGCTGGGGATTTTCCGGGATGCGGATAGTTATCCATTGGGTAAACCGAAGGCCTTGTGGTTAGCTGCTTGTGTGAATCCTCGTAAACCCGGAGATGCTAAGATGTTGACTTACATGGATACATCGTGGTCTAGTCCCAGCGATGCAGGTATTCTCGACAAATTCTCCCTTGGTAAGAACGATGAAGCTTGACATATCATGTGAAGTGTACAACACCTGATGTGTCTCATATCAAACTCGTGTATTGACTCATCTGCGATGAGCACATTGCGTCTGTGAGGTAAATACAAGAGAATTGGTTGTTATTACCAATGACAATGCGTATATCCCGTACTGTCAAACTACGCAGAAGAATGTGTAGTCAGGGGCGTATTACAACATGTTTCTCATCATTATATACTTACTACCTACGCGGGAGAGGGGTATTTTTGGACATCAAGCAGTGAACAGAAAAGATTGTCGTGGTTATTTTTGATCGATAATATCATGTTAGCCTAATATAGTAGAATGTTAGGGGTAATAAAATAAGGTAGACACTCTTTCCTCCCTCTGACAGCTTTTCAAAAAAAAACCCCTCCTGCTATGGTAAGCCTAGATAAGCTACAGATGTAATACTTAAGATGCATGATATGCAAATCATATTGCATAAAGGTAAGGAAACTCATGAGGTAGATTACTAGGTATAAAGAGTACTAATATAAAGGATGGTGTTATTGGTACCGGGTAAGTCATGATAAAAAATATACTACACCATAACACGGAGACCGTGTCACCTCCGCGAAGGCATACAACATCAGATGTCAAGGTAGTAACTCGTCCAGTCTCTATGGTTTCGAATAATAGTAGGTAAGAACGGTATTAGAGTGTTGTAGAAAAAACATACGTAGCTTCAGAGCTGGGACTTAGCCCTTCTTACCAACTTCACAGAAATGGGTGAAGTAAGCGCAAGTGTAATTCCAGGATTTACAGCATTGAAAGTCCTAACTACTAAATAAGAATAACATATGGAAACCTAGTTAGCGAGTATGCCATCATCTTAAAGTCTTACTTATTCCTGTTGAAATAAAATTGGCCGCGGGTGTATCATGATTGACGAAGAGGTTTTAGAGTGTAGGAAAATGCGCCAATTCTTCCTTTTTTTAATCGGCCAAAACTTTCACACTAAAAAATTGCCCCTCCTTCAGATCGACAACCCCTCCATCCCACTTTCAATATGCTGGTTGGGAGTAAAGGCTTTCTGCCTGAAAGGCAAATGCCAAATACTATAGTTTTTATAGATCTCTGAAAAGTATGAGCTAGACTGAACCGTTTCTCTTGGTACACATATAAATACCAAACGGTGATTTTGGATTAAACCCGGTCCCTTTAGTGTTTGCCTTTTACGTTCCCTTCCTTTGTTCCTTGTTTTCAAGATCCGTCTTCGACCCGTTTTGTACCGCAGCATCAAACACCCACCCACACTCGCACAACTCACACAAAACTTAGCCTTCACACATCCTCGCACCCCAGAAATCCCAACCTACTTCAACTCGTTAACCACCAAACGCGATACTGTACTATACTACCAGGAACAGACATCATGCCTCCTAAGAAGTGGGGTATGTATAAACACCTTCCGAACAGCAGTCTGGAATCCATACAGACTACTGTGACGTCTCAAGCGAAATGGACTCTTGCGGGGTCGTTGTGCTTGATGCTTGCACGGCAAGCAACGCCCTTCAAGAGCATGAATAGCTAACAAGCGCATTCAGACGACGAAGAGAGCGACGACAGCAGCTCCTCTGGCTCCCCGGTTGTTGGTACCGGTGCCGCTTCTCGACGCAAGTTTGACGACGAAGAGGACGATGGCGACGTAAGTCTTTGCCCCGAAACCTGGTATGTGTCGTTGACCCTCGAATCGCTGACACCTTTCTCCTCATCAACAGGTTCTAGATTCATGGGACGCCGATGACGACTCCGAGGCCGAGCGTGAGAAGGAGCGCAAGGCTGCCGAGGCCAAGCAGAAGGCTGCTGCAGCCGCTGCCGCTGCAAAGAAACCTAAAGGTCAGCGAATTGCTGAACACCAGGCCGAGCGTGCCCAACAGAGAGCCGGTGCCGCCAATGTTGAGGAATATGAAGAGACAGAGGCCGAGAAGCGCGAGCGACTCCGACGCACCGAACAGGAAGCCGATCTCGCACACGCCGCCGACATGTTTGGAGATATTGGTATCAGCGCCGGTCGTGCCAAGTCCCGTCCTGCTACTGTCGTCGTCGATTCCAACGACCCAACCAAGACCGTCGACATTTCCAAACTGCCTCTCTTCCAGCCCAAGACTAAGGCTCAGTTCGAGACTCTCCGTACCACCCTTACTCCTATCATCTCAGCCAACTCGAAGAATGCCCACTACAGCCTGTTTCTCCAGGATTTCACAAAGGCTCTTGCTAAGGATATGCCCAGCGAACAGATCAAGAAGCTGGCCAGTACGATGACTGCCCTGGGCAACGAGAAGATGCGGGAGGAGAAGGCTGCTGATAAAGGAGGCAAGAAGACAAAGGCTGCCAAAACGAAGACGTCCCTGGTTACCGGTCGTGCTAACGCCGCCGACACCACGACTTACGACGATGCTGATGATTTTGGAGAGTTAGTACCCCCTCGAGACAGACGCGGAGACACTGTACTGACTTATCTCCAGTGATGATTTTATGTGAAGTGTTAAACAATACAGCAAGGGCAGCTTTCGTCCAAATGCTAAACCGCAGCTTCCCATTTCAACTCATACCTATTTGCCCCCTAATCCATCGAGTCGACTGCTCGCCGAGCTGGGCAACTCGAGACATGCCGTTGACACAAAAAAACGCTTTGTGATTTCGAGATACAGCCATGAAGGCTTCTTGGGGTGCTCAGACATAAGAAGCGCAGCAGAGAGAGGGTGGTGGATCAGAGAGGTGTGCCTTAGACTCAAAAGATGGTGAATACATGGAAGAGCGGAGGGCATTAAGAGTATACATGTGAACGATGCAGAACTAGCTTCACAGAGCAGCTTTCGTGCTCTTAACATACTCTTCATACGGGCTTAGTATATGGAATTGCTTTTGACGATCAGACGCCATGGGCATTTGAGGCATATGTTTAAGAATTCGTTAGATAAAAACTAGAGGGCGCTTTGCAATACACTGGAAGAAATGGAACACTGTTGAATCTGGTCTGCATAGCTCATAGATCATGTTCATTCGTATACCGGAGGCAACTTATGCTATTTCATGTGATGAAGGTTGCCACTACGGCAAGGGTATCTCATCAGTTGCCACCCATCATGTTGCTCCTATAAGCGATTAAGCAGTAGAGTAAAATCATGGACGAGGTCCTCATCGTTCATACATAAAATTCCACCAACGCCAGCCACCGTCAGCCGTATCATAAACTTCCCAATCTTTAACGCCTTTGTCGCCTTCCCTCTACACGAGTCGTTGCTCTTGCACAACGCCGATAAAATATACAAAGTCGCACACGTATGGTCATTCTACCCCCATGCTCCATTTATACTCGAGCAGAGCAGGAGGCCGTGACAGGGAACTCACACCACATTGCCCGCCATTCCCATAAAGAGGGCATGGACCGCAAGCGATAAGGTCCAGAACCCAACCTTTTTGAACCGCCGAACTCGGCTCTGTTGGTTTTCGACGTCATTCGCAAATGCATCATATGTCTCCGCTGACATATCGTTCATTAGACCACAGTCAAAGATCGACCAGCTACCATCGAAGTCGCTGGCTCGTTTCACGATACGGCAATTGATTGGTATGTATGTCTTCTTCGCGTTGATATAAGCAACGATAGGACGGACCAATGCCTGATTGACGTATGACATATCCTTGGTGAAGAGAGGAACTGCAGCTTTGACATCGTTCATGGAGATCCGGAGGTCCATGATGAGGTAGCGACGCTCATCATCACTTGTCTGCGGCTCGACGGGTGGCTCTTCGCCGTGGATATCTCCAGCTGAGTCTGAAAGGTGCCCTGATGTAAGAAGAGCAGGGCCTTGCTCTTGGATGTTGCGCATGAAGCGGTGCCTATTTGTGTCGACGATTTCTTCAAGCTGATCGTAGAAGTCGGCCATGACCTTGGTGATGCTCTCGTCGGTGTCGGCGGGAAACATGACATCAGCAACAATATCAACATTCCCTTCGTATATCCAGCCAAAAGGCCCCTCAACACCACGGTTGAGATGGTCTATCTTCAAACCATCAATTCGGAGCCGACTGAACTTTTTCCACGCCTTGGGATCACCAAAACCAACAGAAGCTTCTGGGTCACCATTACCACTGGGTACCACGCCGTGGACTTGCCGGGGATGGATCGTAAACAGGGAACCATCGTAAGACCCTGACATGTGGTTGGCTGAAAGGAAATCATAAAATAGCCACTGCTTGCGAAGCTGGGGCAGCTCGCAAGAGAAGATGCTGATAGAGAATGGCCGGAACCCGCCTGGTTGGTGAACGGTGAGTAATAGGTCCTCCATTTTGAACTTTTCGATCTCAAAATCTCCTGGTTGGTGCTTGTGACGATATGACAGAGGATCAACCTCCTCGGCTGGCCATGTCACTGAAGTTCGGTCAATGACACCGCGAACACCCTTGATTTCAACATCTTTCAACAGTCCTTTGCCATTCCACCAGTTCAGGAATGACAACGTGACATTGACCGTTGAAAGAGTGACGTCAAATTGAGTGTAGTTTCCATCGTCCTCAGTTTCAGACGTTCCCACGAAATCTGCTTTGCGGCCAGCGGCAGCCTCGGCGGCAGCATCTGACGAGCCTTTGCTTACGGATGAGACGTTGCCTTGGCCAGGTCGTCGGGACACAAAAACGTTGCGGAAAGAGATAACATTATCACGCCACTTGGGGACAATAGCAGACTCGAAAACAACGGTAACGCCAGCAGACTGTGTCAAATAGTCACCTACCCATTGCGCGAGTGTTTCTGGTGTACGTTAGGATGTAGATTCTTCGTGCGAAACACGCTTCCATACCTTGGGCAACAACAGTGTTGATTGACAAAATGATCAGGGAGAAGAATGTGGTTGTGCCGACGATGATCCAAGCGAGGTGGCCGAAAAGAAACCATGAAACAAAAGCACCCCATTCATCAATATTCCACGGCCTCATACTTCTGATCGACACCCATTTTAGACGAACCTTGAGACGCTGCCAAAAGCCGTTGGCGGCCTCGAGCAGTTCCTCTTTGGTTGGCCGATGGGGCATTCTCGGCAGGTGTAGATAGGACATGTAAGAGACTGGCTCAGAATCCGACCCTGTAGGGTCTTGTTTCCCGGGTTGACTGAGAGCATCTTTGCTTGTTTCGTTCAATGTTGAGGCCTTGACCCTTTTCAGATCTTCTGTTGTTTTAGCTGGTGTGGGGGAAACATCCGTGATATCCTTGCCGCAAGAGCATTTTGACCCATTACCTTGACCACTACCACTACCACTGTACAATCGTCGCTGTTTCCAGGGCTTCGATGACCAATATGCCCAGTGGGATATTTTACGAGTTGAGGTGTGCGTTGTAAGGGGGTTTATTCGCTCGGAAACAGATGTTCGAGTTTGAATTGCATGGCGCAAAGGAAAGGCTGGCGTGACTGGCAACAAAGTATTGTCTGAGATTGGATCAAAAGTCTGATATTTTCGGTGGGAATGAATAAATCGAGTATTTGAGAGCACAGCCGTCGCCGGTAAGAATGACCACTTCCGACTGATTTCTCCAAGAGGACGTATGGTAGCCGAAGAGACTGTTGCTGGAGAAGAATTGAAGCAGATACCAAAGCAACGCCCGATCAGAGAAGAGGGGATACCCTTGGCCATCATTCCAGCATCATGGTGCCTAACTAAAAAAAACAAAAAAAAACAAGACGACACCAAGAGCGTAAATTGGGCGAAGTCAGAGCCAAAACGGACTTCGTTGTTGTAGTTTCTAGGGGAAAAGCCTTACGGAGGAGGAGTTGGTCGGAGTTAATGAACGACAGATTCCGTCACTGCAAATGCTAACCAAAGCTGCACTTCCATGGTTTCTGGTTGGTAAAGTCACTCCATGACGCGCCTGCCTACTGGAGGCAGAAGACCAATCGATAAGCTACGATAAGCCACACAAATTTTTGATCAGTTTGCTCGAAAGTCACCAACGCCCCCACCAAACCAACCTCTGATACCCTTAGAACTGTGTGAATTTGACTCGGACGAATTTTCTGCGACCAAAGTTTCAACATATATACTTGCCTTGAGAACAGCCCTAAAACCCCATTGCAAGAGGATTGTCACAAAGCAGAGCCACTCACTCATTCATTATTCACGATGCCTGCGCCGACCGCTTTGAAGAACGCAGAGGATGCCCCGCCCGCTGTGGACGTTCCGCTCCCAGTTGAAGGTATGAAAAGAAGAAAAATCTGAAACAAGAGAATCGTGGAAATAGAATCTGATTTTGGTTCAGAGAACGACGAGGAGTTCCTTTTAGATGCGCCTGACGCCCTTCCTACCGATGCGAATGTTCTTGTGCCTGTGGAGGAGAGCAATGAGAATGGAATGGCTATCGATGAGGAAGGACGGCCTCGATTTGCGCCCGCCAGAGATATTGTGAGACTCCCACACCGTCATGCAGAGTTTCAATGATCCTAATAACGTTGATAGGACCCAGTCACCCGGGTGGAAACTCGCAAGATCCCTATTCCTCCTCACCGAATGACGCCTTTAAAACAATCATGGACTTCTATCTACCCTCCTCTGGTCGAGCACCTCAAGCTACAATGTCGAATGAACATCAAGCGAAAGACAGTCGAGTTGCGATCATCGAAGCATACCACTGATACTGGGGCACTGCAAAAAGGAGAAGATTTCGTCAAGGCGTTCACTCTCGGGTTTGACGTGGACGATGCCATCGCGCTGCTGCGACTCGACGACCTCTACATCCAAACTTTCGAGATTAAGGATGTGCGAACAATGCACGGTGACAGCCAGGCCCGTGCCATTGGACGAATTGCTGGAAAGGATGGAAAGACCAAGTTTGCTATAGAGAACGCCAGTAGAACCCGAATTGTGCTTGCTGATTCAAAGATTCACATCCTGGGTGGGTTCAAGAACATCCACCTTGCTCGGGAGTCAGTTGTGAGCCTGATTCTCGGCAAGCCGCCTGGCAAGGTATACGGCAACCTCCGAACGGTTGCGGCACGAATGAAGGAGCGCTTCTAAGTGACGGAAGCTGACGATAGACTTGGGTTGCTACATACGGCGTTACTGGTGGACAGCATTATGATCTTGAATTATGTGAACAAGGAACATTCCATTAAAAATGGGGAGGCTGTCATAGCATGTCGATAACGATAAAACATTGAGATGAATCGATTTGTCGCTTCGTGGATACCCACCTATACCCACGGGCCAACAACGCATGATGATTGTTTCGGGCTAATTGTAGACTGCCAGTTGTGGTTGTAGTCAGATCATGTTTGATACATTGCGTTAATATCGCGCTCTATGTACAGTATCAAACCACGCCTTCGGCCTTACAAGCATTCAGACGTCAACTTCCCATCCAGATGCGAGGGGGGTGGGATGGCTCCGGTCTGTTGTTGGCTGTAGGTCCTCATGAGATGCTGATAGGCACGGACTCAGGTCACTCCATCGGCATCCATGTTTATCAGAACATATCAACTTTCATCGACCGACTCTGGAGCCTTGACCGACAATTGAGCGAAGCACAACGCAATTCTGAGAGTGTCTTGTGGGAATAACATGCCCGATTGAAGCAGGAACATGGTTAAGCCTGCAAGCAAGGCATTGTAAGAGCCGCTATTCAACTACACTAATGAATAGCCATGCCGCTATGCACCATGCTCAACATGCAGCCTTCCGGGACTGGGGAGGATTCGTCTCGTTTCTCGTTGCACCTGGTTAACTTGGCTTCCGATCAAGACGGGGATCGTCCAACCGGAAGACGCCCTCGAGCCGGCACGGCGAGTCTGGGGCAGCGATGCGGCGGACGACGGGCAAGATGAGCCCGCGGTGCCGGGAATCAACGGGAGCGAAACATGAGCCTGCATCGAGCTGTATGTAATGGACTGTTGTACGGGGAGGTGATATTATGCACAGCAGCATTGAGAGAGTTAACGAAGGGTGTGGAGGCGCCTATGGTGGACTATGCTCGTCGTCAAACTGATTATGATTTCTCGGTCTGTTTTCCATCCTCTCGTCTCCTCTCGGTCTCGGTGCGGCGCTGTGTCGGCGGGCGTGAAATATAGCATGCTAAGGCGGCAAAATTCCATATCGCTAGTAATCACCCAATGCCAACGCCTATCTGACACACAGGGAGTACATACTCGATACTGTAGCAATGTTTGACGTCCTTTGAGGACCCATGTAGCTTACTGTGACCCTGGCGTGTTCTCTTGTCGGCCGTTTACAGTAATGGCAATGCCAATGGATCTCAAGGTGAGCGGCGAACCATTGAGGTGGCTTTTGGCAATGTGGGATGGTTGGATCTACTCCGTAGGCGATTGTAACTAAAAGCTTCGTAGAGTGGGACCTGAGCCCAGTCCAGGGGAGAATAGACCTGGACTTTTGGACCCCTCCTCTGGCTGAATTGGCCAGGGTGAGATTTGTGAGATCATTTTCACCCCTCCAAGGTCAATCGGACCCCACCTCGCAGGTAATTTTTGGTGAGAGAGAGAGAGACATGGAAGATCGTGCAGACAGACAAGACGGGAGATGGGACGCAGGAGGCTACGTACATCTCATCATACCTTTCCTGTGTCGACCGTTGACTGGGCTGGGCTTCCTATTTGAGGAGTGAGCTTTGACTTTTGGCTTTTATTAATGGATCGACGCATTTCCTCTGGTTTCTGGAAACCATTCATAAACACCTTGTGCTCCCCTCCTGTGGCCATCTTTTTCCCTCCCTTTCTTCCTTCTCATCTTCATTGCATCCAATACCTCTTATCCTCTTATCATCATTCTCTCTTGCCTCTAGACAGGTTCTGCTGGCTCCAATTGCATACCTACATTTCATACATAAACACTTTACCTAAGGTGAGTCTCAATCGAGATAAAATAGTCACAGCTATTATCAATGCCCATACCCCCTCCACAACCCCTCAGCAAAGCAATAGCAACTACACACCAGCAAAGCAGAGCAGCCTGAGCCTTGGGGAGCTCTTTGGGCTGGTCCACCCTCCCCCTC